GGAATCCTTCTGATCATTTTTTGAGATGTATAAACTCGGACTTTGATACAGTCACAGCTACACTCAAAGGGTCTCAGAGAATTCAGGTGTGGGAGTAAACTAAATCTAGCAACATTTGGGATTTTATATCGCGATTTTTCAAAGGTTAATACTTATTCTACTACAGGAAACACCAGCTACATCAGATCCTCTGATGAATCTAGCAACATCTGTGATCAAAGCAAGGCTAGTTGAGAATTACAAGCGTTCAAAGTATGCGAAATCCGCAAAATCTAGGATTCGAGAACTATCTAACATTGTAAGTTTAAACTCCATTTTAAAGTTAACTCACTAGCTAGCTTGGGCATAACAGGCTTTTTTCGCAGGAAGGGCTCGAGATGGAAATAAGAAAAGGCAGTGAAGCGAGCTGGTGGAAACAACTTAGGACATTAACAGCAAGATCATTCATAAACATGTGTCGTGATGTTGGATACTATTGGACACGAATAATAAGCTACATTGTTGTTTCTATAAGCGTAGGAACCATCTTCTACGACGTAGGCTATAGCTACACATCAATCTTAGCCCGAGTTTCTTGCGGCGGATTCATCACTGGTTTCATGACTTTCATGTCCATTGGAGGCTTCCCTTCTTTCCTCGAAGAAATGAAGGTAAATAATAAGACTCTACTTAAAATCTCACAAATCTTGATTTGCTTGATCGATGAAAATGTGATTTTGCCTTGTTTCAGGTGTTCTATAAGGAGAGGCTGAGTGGATACTACGGTGTTTCGGTTTATATCCTCTCGAATTACATCTCTTCTTTCCCGTTCTTGGTTGCGATATCGGTTATCACAGGAACTATTACTTACAACTTGGTGAAGTTTCGTCCCGGGTTCTCGCATTATGCTTTCTTCTGTCTCAACATCTTCTTCTCGGTTTCTGTGATAGAGAGTCTCATGATGGTTGTGGCTTCTGTTGTTCCAAACTTCTTGATGGGTCTTATCACTGGAGCTGGCCTCATTGTAAGAACAGAGCAACCTCTGTTTTCTTTTCTACTAAAATGCTTAGAAATATCTTGAGTCTGATTTCTGTTTTATGAGCGGAAAAAGGGAATCATCATGATGACTTCTGGATTCTTCCGTCTTCTTCCTGATCTTCCCAAAATCTTTTGGCGTTACCCGGTTTCTTACATAAGCTATGGTTCTTGGGCTATCCAGGTAAAGTAACTTTATGAGCTTATCTCGATTCAAGAACATAAAAGGTTGAACTTTTGAATGTCTTTAAACATAAGAACATATGGGATTGTTGCAGGGAGGGTACAAAAACGATTTTCTAGGGCTAGAGTTCGAGCCTATGTTCCCGGGTGAGCCGAAAATGACAGGAGAAGAAGTGATAGAGAAGGTATTTGGAGTAAAGGTGACATATTCAAAATGGTGGGATTTAGCTGCGGTCGTAGCAATCCTTGTTTGTTACAGGCTTCTCTTCTTCGTGGTCCTAAAGCTGAGGGAGAGAGCAGGACCGGCTTTGAAGGCGATTCAGGCAAAAAGAACGATGAGGAATCTCGACAGGAGACCTTCTTTCAAGAGAATGCCTTCCCTGTCTCTTTCACTGTCGTCAATGTCTTCAAGGAGACACCAACCTCTCCGCTCACTTTCTTCTCAAGAAGGCCTTAACTCTCCTATCCACTACTAAAAGACTTATATAATGTATGAGGTTTACTTTGTTATCTGCAGCTTTCATCATGATCTCATCTTAATCAGCTTTGTCATTGTTGGAGAAAAACAACAAACTAATAACCAAGTTTCGTTTAATAAACCCTACCCAATGTTCCACTATTGAAACTTTACTTCAGGGTTTACGTAACACAAGAAAGGCAGTATTGCACACACAATGAGAGAAACACAATCTTTTTATATGAAGATGCTAATCTTATTACACCAACAAGGCAACAACAGGTCAGGCCCAAATCAGTAGTGAAAGATGTTTAGATCCGGAGGCCATTATCTACTTAAAAAGTTTATAAATGTATTCTCAAACCAAAAATAATTTAGGTGTTAATGAAAGAGCCAAAAAAATTATATATATTTCCTTAAGATCTCATGAATGGAAGAAGTTAAATCCAAATTGGAGATTTTTATACCAAAACTTTGTCATCACAATAACAAGAATTTCGAGTATTTGTGGCGGAATCCTATAATGGTCAGTCAAAATAGCAAATTTCAAATAAAGAAACTGATCAAAATTTAACTATATATATTATCAAGACTGAAGAAAGATTAGGTAGATATAAAAGCCCAAATGAAAACACAACAAATTTTCTAATTTTTGTCAGCAATGCCTATTGGCCTTTTTACTCAAACCCTTAACAAGAAAGTGAAACAAAGATCTTGTAGAGGTGAAAACATATCCGTTAACATTTGTGGAAAATTAGAAGACAAGTAGCAACGGATACGTCCTTTGTTATCAGAGCCAACGTAACTATAGCTATCCCTGGGCTCTGGAAGACTTTGAATAGTTCTCTAGACCCAAATATCTTTAGTAATAAAAATACTCCATCTAAAAGTATTGGTTGGAACATTCTTATAAAATGCATTAAAAAGTGAGAGCAATATTCTACTATACTAAAGTGAAAGACTATCAAACATGCATGTCCAAATACTCTTCAGAAATAACATTTTAAGATTAAGCTTTTATATAAGTCTTATATCCCTCCACATATTACATTGTTCCTACATAGAAAGGACGACTTGGATAGACCCGCAAAGAGAGAGCATGATGAGAACGTGCAGGAATAAAACGACCACTCTGCCAATTACATATCTTATTTTTCTGAGGTCAAATTACATATCAATTATGAAGCATAATTCATGTTGAAGATGATCAAATGTTAATGCGCGTTTAAACTTATGGATTAGATTCGTTAATTTTTGTTTAATTGGAACCACAAAATGGAACTTGAAAGAAACAAATAATTTTTTTAACGAAACACAGTGTGAAAAGTAAACCTATATTACCAACTACCTTGGTTTAAGAAAGACTCGTAACTCCTTTGACCAATAAAAAAAGAAAGACTCGTAGTAATTCTTAAAAGTCCTATGACCTTTTTTTGTTGAGAGAAGACAAAAATGGCAAAATATGCGTCAAAAAGTAAGATTTTGCTGACTTCTTACCATTCATTTTCCAAATATATATGTTTCTTTATGTGACCAAATTAAAGTTGATAGTTAGTAGTCAGTCATTGAATCGGTAGTCTCTCACCAAAAGTACACAAAAGGTATTCACATGCAATAAAAAAAATTAGTGTACTAACTAAATTCACTAAAGTGCAAACTTTCTCATTGACCTTTTAAATTACTATTGGAAAATGCTGCAATATCCATGCGACCTTGTGAAATTCAGATATAAAAAGACTTTAAACGTTAGGAAAAAAGGAATATAAAGTCAAATAGGTTGAATATTTCCATGAAACAGAAAATGCCGTCCACGTCCAAAACTGCGATTTGCTAATCCACCGTCCATTCACTTCTCAAAATCAAATCTAAAGCGTTCATCAGAGATTTGGTTTATAGATGAATCACGTGTCGTGATCTTGACGCATTAGAAGCGTGCACTTAGCTCTAGTGGAACCAAAAACACCACGACCGCACACCATGCGAGATTGAAGGACCTGAATGTTCAAAGTCCTCAAAAGCAGCCACGCATTATTTGGCGGCCCACTTATAATGTAGTTGCTGCCGAAGTAACTAGTGGTGTGATTATTTAAGTAGTAATTAACTATTTGGTCTTTAAGTATGTAATCAAAAGAAAACCAAATCATCAACTAATCATCAAATGAGAAGAATAAAACTATGCATGCTTTATTTTCCCTTTATTTACCTTTTTGTTTTCTTTAGAATGGTTACCAATTGTGTTAGTTAATGTCTGTTAATTTGTCACACACTATTTCAATGTTATGAAGAAGATAAAACAATGAAATATAACTTAATTTTTTTTTTCTTTTTATAAAACACACTTTGTTTTCCTAATGAAATGATATTAAAGGGCGTAATTACATAAAAGGATCTTTGAAAACTTATGATTTGTGTGAATCTGATGTCATTGGTAAAATGGTTGGTTAAGAACTTAAGATATTTCTTTAACAAAAAAAATTAAAGAACTCAAGATATTAGTAATTTTTATATTAAATAGATGTCGTAGAAACCTCTAATATTCTTAGCAAAAAAGAAACCTCTAATATTTTTGCAGATTATGTTAGCGCATTGCCGTGTTGAGATATGTTTCCCCTGTAGCACAAGAAACTAATATAAAAAATTTAAAACATTATCTACATTCGGCTAAATAATACTATTTAATTAGACCATGTTATAATGATTAGTTGATCATTTTGAAAGATACTTATACAACAATCTTCACCAGAAGATTTGTTGATGATTAGATAATAGATATAATGATATAAGTTGTTTAGTCGCGTCCTACATAAATCTAAAAATCAAAAATTGTATTTTGAGTATTTAAAATATTATATAAGATATAAAGAACAATATACAAAACTAGAAATTTAGGTTACCTGTCGGTGTCATATAATTTAGGCACCTAAATCACTACTCTACTTCTTACTAGTTTAGATAAATTGTTGAATCTAAGATGGGTTATTTCAAGTCATTTCATATGTTTTTCGAAAATTTGGAAAACTTTACAACTTTTTTTTTGTTTTGAATATTTTAATATTTGTATTTAAACTCTAGACTTCATAATCAAAAAGAGAATCTGAATTTTTGTCACAAAAAAAAAAAGACGTGATCATAAAAAAAAGAAGTAAATATTTCTATCTTAATAAATATTCTTTTGTCCCCTATCTCTATTTTTTTTTGTTGATTTATTAAATATAAATATCAGAGAAGTCAAAAATGTGATCCGTTAACTTCAAAGCGAATTACTGTTTGTTTATTTCACAAAAGCTTGGACGCGTACGTCTCCGATTTCCATATATATATATATAACACATAAATCTGCCGTCTTGGAGATTGGAAACATATCAAGCTTCTTCTTCGTGTTACGCACTTTCATCTCTCTCTCTTCTCTCTTCTCTCTTCTCTTCTCTCTTCTCTCTTCGTCTTCCATCACAGAAGACAGAATCCAATGTCGTCGACCTACAAGCTCAATCACACTGTACTTCAATCTCTCCTTCTCTTGCCGATTCTGTTTTACTCACTCTCTTTTGCTCTGTTTTGCCTAATTTACCGTTTAATTTGACTCAGTGGTTCATGAATTGGCTTATGATTCGTGTTTCTTAAATCTCTCTGCTTTTTTTTCTTCTTCTTCAATTTTGGGGGATTTTGTAGCAAATTTGTTGAGCTGGTCAACAAAAATCTTTCCTTTTGGATTTATGATCGTGTAGTGATCGCCGGAAATTTCGTTTATTGAAATTGATTTGGAATTGAGAATGTGAGAAACTCTTTGAGTTGGTAGTGATGAGATTGTTCTAGATGATTCGGTAGTTTTGGTTCACGGTTATGTTTGCCAAGTCTATCTTCATTCAAAGCTTGTGTTTTTGAATGAAAAGGTTTTAACTTTATTTGATTTCTTGGCAGGATTCTTTCGGAAATGGAGATGCAAAGAGTTTGGCGGAGAATGGTTTCAGTCATTTGACTTCACTTGCTCAATCAGAGAAGGCTGTTCAGGAGCTTCTTCTTCAACAAACTCCTATGCAGACTACTGACGACCATCTCATTGAGTTTTCAGAGGCTTTGAGAAGTAAGCAAGCTTTCGATTTGTGTAACATGAGCTCTTTGGATATGGGATTTAACTTTCACTTTCTTGGATATTGTAGCTGTTGCAAAGGCACTAAGAGGAGCTGCTGAAGGAAAGGCGTTGGCTCAAGCTGAGGCTGCTGAATGGAAGCGTCGATACGAGTTAGAGAGGTCGAAGAACGTAGAGTTGCAGCATAAAGGTTCTCTACTAACTTAAAAGGGTTGTTTTTAAAATGTTCACCATTTAGTTCTTGTAATTTTGATTTGATGCTATTGGCCTGGCCATGGATGTGTTTGAATAACAGAATTGCTGGCTTGTTTTACAGAACTGTCAAATGGAGTGTGTGCTGATGAATCTAATAGTCAAAGGATAGAGCACTTAGCAAAGTCTCCGCGGCTTTATGCTCAGGAAAACAGTTCTAATGGCATGGAGCGTATTTGCTCTCATGAAGTGCTCCAAGATGGTGGATTTAACAGTTTTACTAACAAATTGAAGAGGAAGGTAAGATATAGTTAACTGTTACTATCCTTGCTTTTATTTTTTGGCTATGCAAGTCAGTGAGCATAAGTAGGGCCAATATCAACCTATGTACTTGTGATGAATCTTACATTAGCCTTTGTTGGACTTGCACATTCTAGTATCAAATGTAGATGAATATTAGTCCGTCAGAGTTGTTAATGTATCTTTGCATTCGCTTTATCCCAATTACTTTGACATTCAAAACTGGCAACGGTATTGCAGGAAATGATTAGGCTACAACAATATGGAAAGAATGAAAACTCTATTCTAATATTGAAATTGGCTGCAGGCGTCATTTAAACTTTCATGGGGATGTAAGGGGATGGCTAATGATCAACACAAAAAGGAAATTGTTTCGTTTGAGAGAGGGAATATCAGTACAGCAGAGCGCAGTAGTAAACAGGTAGGACTATTTTTTCATCTTCTCTATCTTTGTGTTTCCCATCTCTGAATTTACAACTAATGGAAAATATTTGTTCTCAATTCCAATCACTTTAGACTAAACCCAACAACTTATAATTTCAGATTTCACTGACATGGGAGTCTGATCCACAAACTGTGCTTATTATCACTAAACCTAATTCAACTTCCGTGCGAGTTCTCTCTGTGGATATGGTCAGGTCAGTATTTAGGTCACTTCGAGAATGAGTTTCAATACTCTTTGAGAAAAATGTTATGGCTACATGTATAAGATTATGCTACCCTAACCATAGGATTTGTTTCTGTAACTCTCTCTGAATTTCTGCTTTGCTGCTTCATCTCTTTTATTTATGTGTCTCACAAACTAGCTTATGTATGTGCTCATTTGGAAAGTAGATTCTTGGTGCCGATGACGTAATTAGAGTTTGGTTTATTTCCATTTCAGATGGTTGAGAACGCAAAAAGGACTAAATATTTATGTGGAACCTCGAGTAAAGGAAGAACTCTTATCAGAATCAAGTTCCTTCAACTTCGTACAAACTTGGGAAGATGGTAAGATATGATATATTGTTTTCAGATTGTTCTCTGCCGTTGATGCCTATGAGAAAAGTGTATGGAGCACAGAAGTGTGAAATAAATTCATATAGACCACATCAAATATTTAGGCCTTGTAGTTATCAGAAGTGTGACATAACTTCATTTTTACCCCAATTGATGATATGTGATGCAGACAAGGAAATTTCACTTCTACACACAAAGGTTGACCTTCTTATAACTCTTGGTGGGGACGGCACAGTGCTATGGGTAAGTAAATCTTGGTTTTATATGACTCAGGTTTATATCATCTTCCATCTTTTGCTTTTTATATTACCGCAGATACAATTTAACATGAAGTATCTTAACGGTTGCAGGCAGCATCGATGTTTAAAGGACCAGTGCCTCCAATTGTTCCATTCTCCATGGGATCTCTTGGATTTATGACTCCTTTCCGTATCCTTCATTTTTTTCTTTATCAGTTAGTTAGTTAAGCTGTATTACACATTATCTGTTACAAAAACTTTTCTTTAACTCCAATCCAGACAGCGAACAATACCGAGATTGTCTTGAAGCGGTTTTGAAAGGTCCAATCAGTATAACACTACGACACAGGTTGCAGTGTCACATCATCAGAGATAAAGCAACGAATGAATATGAAACAGAGGAGACTATGCTTGTTCTGAATGAAGTCACCATTGACCGTGGAATATCTTCTTTCCTCACAAACCTTGAATGCTACTGCGACAACTCATTCGTCACATGTGTGCAAGGCGATGGACTAATACTGTCTACAACATCTGGTAGCACCGCGTATTCACTTGCTGCTGGAGGGTCAATGGTCCATCCTCAGGTAATAAATACCCCATAATGATCTTTATATCCGTAGCAACAAGCGAGGCTGGTTCTTTGATTCACAATAGCTTTAGCCTTATATATCAATGACAGATAATGGATTATATTCTAACTTAATATTTTGCAGGTTCCTGGGATCTTATTCACGCCTATCTGCCCGCATTCTCTATCATTCCGCCCACTGATATTACCGGAACACGTGACAGTGAGAGTGCAAGTACCATTCAACAGCAGAAGCTCCGCTTGGGTCTCCTTTGATGGGAAAGACCGGAAACAGCTTGAAGCAGGGGATGCACTAGTGTGTAGCATGGCACCATGGCCCGTCTCAACCGCTTGCCAAGTTGAATCCACCAACGACTTCTTACGCAGCATCCACGATGGTCTTCACTGGAACGTAAGAAAGACTCAATCGGCTGACGGGCCTCGGGACACTTAGAAACAAATTCCTCCAGCTTTTCTCTCTTTCATTCTTAACCAATAACCATATATAGTCTCGACGTCTATCTATCTATCTATCTATATGCATATAGATAAAGGTGAAAAGGAAAGTGATGGGTTCTGTGAGAGAATGTGGTCTGTATCCATTGTTGTGTAAAGGAGATGTGTAATAATGTAGCTGCTTTGACCCATAATTCTGTTGATGTAATAATCACTCAAAGTTAGTGAATCAAAGATATTTCTGCATAATATTGTGTCCAAAATGCTTAATGGTTGTCTTAAGAACTGCTTTACGCGTAAATTTAAGCTGCTTGCTACATAATTTCCTATTGTGCATACTCCAACTTGATTCAGAGCAGAGCTGTGTCATGGTAGAAGAAGAACACATCCAACAATAAAAAAAATTCAAACAAATATCATTACATGTAGCTTGCTGCATTAGTTTTTCTTTTTGCATACATAAAGGTTAGTAAACCTACTTTGTTAATAATATGCATCATCATCATCATCATCGCCATTTATGCTGTCATCGGTTTCTTGATCAACCCCTGCTCTGCCTTTTGCTCTTACTGTTCTGCCTGACCCTTTCAATGGTTTTGCCTTCTCTGCCTGCAGCTCCATGGCTTTCTCTGATGGTTTCCTTTTTCTCTTTCCTCGTGTCTCACCCATTTCTTCTGCAATAGAGAGCCATGCATTAGTAACGACATCATCTATATCTGTGGTATAACACATCATACATCCACAATACTAATCTACAAATGAGACCTCCATCTAGCATACTTCTTACTCTTTCTTACCTCCTTGTGGACTTGATGCATGGTGTCCATTCTGACCAGCCTCTTCAGAAGCGGGAGATGCAGATATCTGACCTTCAATTAACTTGATGCTTTCAACCAAATTGTCTAGCTGGTCATTTGTATCTGGGATCGGTTCCGCTGGAAGGTAGCGGAGTTCCTCCACTGACATATCTGAATCGCTGAAAGCATCCTTTTCCACTGTCTCTATGTCAACTTCTTCATCTTCATTAACATCTAATACTTTCACCTACACGCATACAACAATTTAGAGTTTCAGGAAAACATGTGATAGAAAGATAATGATTAAGTCTATATCTATTTAATATCTCACCTTTTCTGTTTCAGGTAGCAAATCAAATTCATCTTCGCGTTCCACATACTCTTCGTTCTCCTCAAGCTCCTTGAAATCAGGAGCAAATGCACTCCAGTTCTCTGTGTAATCTTTTGCCCAAATATATACTAGACCCGCCAAGGAAACAGAGACGATTATGGGATGAACAGGATGCCAAGCTAGATCAATCAACGCTTCTTTTGGACCTTCTAAAATTTTCACAAGATGCCCCGCTCGATCCCATATGTAGATCTTATGTTCCCCTTTGCACGCAGAACCCCCAACTACCCACTCACCATCACCACTGAAACAAGGCGCTTTCCAATGCATTTTTGTAACTGAATCTTGGAATTCCCTGAAGAGTGTTAAGCATTTTGATCCAACAGTCTTCATTTTCTCAACACCATCAAGCCCATCTATGTTCTTTCCCAAGTCCTCAAGGGATCTAAGAACATTTTTCGCTGGAAGAAGATTTTCATATATCCTAATGGTTCGATCATGTGAATTCGTGAGAAGATACTGCCCATTCCTGCTAAACACTATGTTTTTCACAGGTGCCGCGCCAGACACAGGAACCAAAGCAAGAACTCGAACACTTTTATAATCAACTATAAGTATTTCTCCTTTGGAATTACCTATATAAACAAGATCCCCACACTTGTTAAAGCATGCTGCAGCTGGAGAGAAAGGAGGATTTGATTCAGGACATTTACTGCGTTGCGGAGGAGCTAATACATCAGGCATCTCAGGCACAGCGACTGGAAGCAAAGTTGTACAATCAATATCAAAGTCAACAATCATCGGAGCAGATGAGAGCGGGCACGCCAGACAGAGAGAAGGAGAACTCAAGCCAGGGTTTAAGCGAGCCTGCAACGGAGTCTGCTGAAGAATCGTACGAGCAATCTTCTCTCCAGTCGAGACATCCCAAAGAGTTAATGACTTGTCTGCAGCAGACACAAGCAAGCGGTGCCCATATTTCGACCAGGAGACACTTGTTATTGCAGCAGAACAATCATTATCACGAATCTCCTTTGCAATGCCTCTAGTTTCGAAATCCCAGATTACACAGCCACCATCCGCACACCCCGCTAACAAATAAAGAATGCAAGATATCCTCTCATCAATGTGTATACTATAAAAATCCAAATTCATAGATAACGAAACAGCAAAGCTAAATTGGGAAGAGAATTATTACCAGCGAGAAGAGAACCACGGTGATTAAAGGCAACACATTTAATGACACCATGTTCCAGATATTCTTCAATCACCTCCGGAAAATCTCCTTGCAATGGATCTACACAGAGAGACCCAACAAATTATACACCCAGTGAGGAAGAACCGAACAATGGGAATGGAAGCACAAGTGTGAAAATAGAGCTCACCTATGATCGGAGCGTTCATGTTGCTCTCTTGTTGGTCTCTGAGAGTGTTGTGGAAATTGAGTGAGTGACTGAACACAGGCCCTCGAAATTAGGGTTCCTAAGACACAACGATCCAATAAAAACTTGGCAATTGAATCCGAGTAATCTAGGTAAAGTTTCTAAGGGGCCGTGAATAACAATGTGATTGGAGCAATTAGGTTTATCTATCTCTCTCCGAAGGCGATGTACTTGGAGCAATTATTAGGTTTATCTATTTCTAAAACCTTGGAACGCGTTTCGAAACGAAATCAAACAAGGAATGCGAAAGCGTGAAAACGAAATCGGAGAAGGAATATGAAAGCAGGGATTGATTGGTCTTAGAGGAGAATTGATGAAGAGAAGACCGACTAACGGCGTTAGACCAAAGGTTGCGACTTGGGGTTTTTAACCAGTGTTATAATTTCGAATATATTATCTCGTTAAATTAAATCTAATATGGACTCTTAAGTAATTAAACAGAGATTTACAAAGATGTGTTTATGAAAGAGTAGTCGATTATATCATAGAGTAAAAAGATGGACCCACATGTGGACTCCACAACAAAAGTATCTCTGTACACTTTTTTTTTTCATGGTTCTTCTTAACAAAAGATAGAACATGACACGTGGCAAGAACCCATTTGCACGAAAATCATATGTGGATAAGGAAATGGATATCATTTCTCCACAATTCCACAAACTCAAATTACCCAACTTCTTAAACACATTCCCATCAGCTCACAAACCATTAACCAAGAGCCAACCAGAGAAAGAGAGAAAGATCAAACGTAGGATTCAATCAACTATCAAGCAATGGCATCGATGACCATGACCGCTACCTTCCTCCCGGCCGTCGCCAAGCTTCCCTCAGCCACCAGCGGACGAAGGCTCTCGGTAGTCAAAGCCTCCACGAGCGACAACACACCCAGCTTAGAAGTCAAGGAACAGAGCAGCACCACAATGAGGAGGGACCTCATGTTCACGGCTGCAGCAGCAGCGGTTTGTTCTTTGGCTAAAGTAGCCATGGCTGAAGAAGAAGAGCCCAAGCGAGGGACAGAGGCGGCCAAGAAGAAATACGCACAAGTTTGTGTCACAATGCCTACGGCCAAGATCTGCCGCTACTGATTCAACAAACCACCTTCTTCATGCCTATCCCTCTCTTTCAATTTCGGTAAATTTTCTCAATTAAGTTTGGTCTGTAATCGTATATTGATCAATTTACTAAAAGCCCTTTTATCTTTCTACAAGAATGTCTTCTTTCACCATTAGCAAAACTTGACAAAAGCACTGCATTGTGAATACAAAACAGTTTCCCAAAAACTAGATTAAAAACCAAATCGTCCTAGGTTAAAAAAGACAATGACTAATTCATACTCACCAGCAGAATGTTATTTAGCTTTCTTATTCTTAGACAAAGAAACTAAAAACAGAATAATATCAAACTAAACGAGTTAAGCCTAGTGCCAAATAACTTCTTTAATCACCTGCAAACGCATTACATATCCTGTTTCTTCCAACATGGCTTCTCCAAATACTTTACCAGTGTGATTCTTCATAATGCATTTGCCTCCTCCCATTGTTACTGAACAGCCTTGGTCTGTCATCTGACCAACACTCAACACGTTTTTGTTGATCCCGGGTACAAAAAGCACATTCTTGATCCTCTTCTTCCCTTCCCTCGTCATAATCATGACATCTCCTTTCCCTTCTGCCATGACAACTTTCCCGTCCGCCAGTCCAACCCTAGCTCTGTATGATCGGTCTAAAGTCGTGAAAAACTTCTCATATGGAGTCATGTGATCCGTGGTAGTGGTGTGTACCATCCACATATCCTCATCAAATGTGATACCACCAACAGTTACCCCTAACATCAGATGCTCAGGTTTTTGGATCCGAGCTTGTTGTGTTGCTGCCGGTTGCAGATTCCTAGTGTTGCCGCAATCTCTTGCATAATGCCCTTGTCCTCCACATCGAAAGCATTGGCCTCTAAATTGACTGGCTCCACTCGAATTCACTACACAAGGGTTGTAATACCAGTCTTCTTGGTTGTGATTGTTCTTCTCGTACCCACCACACGGCAACCGATCAGAGTGGGCTTTTCTAAGAATGTTAATGAACTTCATCAACTCCTGAGGCATAGTTTCAGGATGTGATCCAAACAGTTCAAAAGCCTTAAGAAGATCACAAAGAGTCAGATCAGGCAAAGTCATGAATTCCTCCAACACAGGAATAGATTCATCATATGACCATGTCAGCGAGGTCAACAGCTTGGCGATAACCTTACCATCGGATATCGGATTTCCCAAAACTTCGAACCTTTCAGTGATTTCCAAAACTCTCTCCAAGTACAAATCCATTGGTTCTCCTTCGTACATCATAAGCTTCTCGAATTGTTTCTCTAATCTACGTAGCTTAGCTTCTTTGTTATCGTTACCTTTTTTGAGCAAATCCCAAAGATCCTTGGACGAAGCAATAGAGATAGTTTTCCTGAAAACCGAATCTGGGAGAGAAGATTGCATTATCTTAAGCGCTTTGTTGTCTTTGATCACACGGTTTCTCCATTGTGCAAGATCTATAGAGTTGATAGTCGCCGCTAACTCTGGAATCTTCGTTGGATTTGGCGAGACTCCGTTTTGAACAACATCCCAAACTCCATTCTCCATCAGTCTAGTTTCCGCCATTGGAGACCAATGTTCGTAGTCAAAGTCATCGGAAACACCGTCTTGGAGATTCGCCGCCATAGCCGCAACTGTCGTCAAACCTTTTTCTCTGAAAATTCTCTTGGAGCAAGCAAGCGACTAAACTAATCCCTCTCCGGAACACTTTCTATTTTATCTAGTGACTTGTGCTTAACCATAAACCCTAAAGTTCAATTGCAAAATTCACCAAAGAGTAGTGGCTCGGTTTTGGTTTCTTTCTTGGTTCGGTTTAACACAATTGGAGAAATATGTATAAACCAATGAATCGGATCACTTCCAAATGAATACACGTGTGAATTTGGTTGATCATACGGAGTTTTCGAATTAGTTTAGTTATTATTATTAGGGAATCAAATTTGGTTGTATCTGGTTCAATTTTAGTGGGTTGGTCCGGTTAAGTGATTAACCGTACGTCCGTACACCACACGCAAGCTTCTCTCCAACCATGATCAATACGAGTTGTAGATGGTTTGGACTTCGGTGACTAGAACTAATCTAAGATGAATTACTCTAAACTTAGCAGTCGTCATTGAGTTTCGATCCAACGCCTCTTAGAACTAGGTTTACTTCAAATATTTAACATAGCAATGAATATATAAATCTAATTATATCAGGAAATATTTGAGTATTTGCACCTTGTAATGATGCTAAAATATCCATGCATATATGATATATGATATATCCTTGCCCTACCATGTCTACCTCCTTTCAATCTCGGTAAATTTTCTCAATTAAGTTTGGTCTGTAATCATATACTGATTAATTTACTAAAAGCCCTTTCATTGTTAAGTTGTTAACTAGAATTGACTCCTTTCACCAATAGCAAAACTTGACAAAAGCAATGCATAGTGAGTACAAAAGAGTTTCCAAAAGCTAGATTAAAACCAATAAAAGACCAGGACTAATTCATATTGCAGTAGCAGAATATGAGAATTAGCTTTCTAAGACGAATAAATCCAAACTGAAACCACATAAAAGACTTGAAATGTCCACCTAAAGAGTAAGTCTACTACCAAATTTATTCAAAGTGAATACCTTTCAATCACCTGCAAACGCAGAGCAATGCCTCTCTTTTCCCGCATGGTTTTAACAAATATTTTCCCTGCCTCATCCCTAATAGTGCACTCACCTCCTTCCATTTCCATTGAATAGCCTCTCTTTTTCATCCGACTAAAACTCAAAACGTTTTTGTTGATCCGTGGAACGAAAAGCACATCCATGATTGTCATCTTCACTCCCTTCATCATGAACTTGACATCTCCTATCCCTTCTACCATGACAACATTCCCGTCCGATAATTGAACCCCACCTCTGTATGTTCTGTCCAAAGATGTGAAAAACTTCTCATATGGAGTCATGTGATTCTCAGTGGTGGTGTATATCATCCACATATCCTCATCATAAGTGAAACAATCTTTGACTTCTCTCTTCCGAGCTTGTAGTGTCGCCGCGGGTTGCAGATTCCTTGTGTTGTAGCAATCTCTAGCATAATGCCCAATTTCTCCACATTGAAAGCAGTGGCCTCTTCCTCCACTCAAGTTCACTACCCTAGGGTTGTAATAACAGTCTTCTTGGTAGTGATTGTACTTCTTGCACACGCCACACCACATCTGCTCAGCCTTGGCTTTTCTAAGACTTTTAACGAAATCCTTCAACCCCTGAGGCATAGTTTCAGGATGTGATCCATGTATCTCCAAAACCCCAAGAAGATCATGAGGAGTCATATCAGGCAAATTCATGAGTTCCTCCAACACAGGAATAGCATCATCATATGGCCATGACAGCGAAGTTAACAGCTTCGCGATAACATCATCATCGGATATCGGATATCCCGAAGCGCGGAACTGTTCAATGATATCCAAAACTCGCTCCAAGTAAGAATCCATTGATTCTCCGTCATACATCATAAGCTTCTCGAATTGCTTCTCTAATCTAAGTAGCTTAGCATCTTTGTTGGGATTGTTCTTATCGTACCCACTACACGGCAACCGATCAGAGTGGGCTTTTCTAAGAATGTTAATGAACTTCATCAACTCCTGAGGCATAGTTTCAGGATGTGATCCAAACAATTCAAAAGCCTTAAGAAGATCGCGATGAGTCAGATCAGGCAAAGTCATGAATTCCTTCAACACAGGAATAGAATCATCATATGACCGTGGCAGCGAAATTAACAGCTTGGCGATAACCTTATCATCCGATATCGGATTTTCCCAAACAAAGAACCGTTCAATGATTTCCTCAACTCTCTTCAAGTACAACTCCATTGGTTCTCCTTCATACATCATAAGCTTTTCTAATTGTTTCTCTAATCTACGTAGCTTAGCTTCTTCGTTATCGTTACCTTTTTTGAGCAAATCCCAAAGATCCTTGGACGAAGCAATCGAGATAGTCTTCCTGAAAACCGAATCTGGGAGAGAAGATTGCATTATCTTAAGCGCTTTGTTGTCTTCAATCACACGATTTCTCCATTGCGCTAGATCTACGGCCTTAATAGTCGCCGCTAACTGTGGAATCTTCGTTGGATTTGGCGAGACTCCGTTTTGAACAACATCCCAAACTCCATTCTCCATCAGTCTAGTTTCCGCCATTGGAGACCAATGTTCGTAGTCAAAGTCATCGGAAACACCGTCTTGGAGATTCGCCGCCATAGCCGCAATGTTCGTCAAACCTTTTTCTCTGAAAATTCTCTTGGAGAAAGCAAAGCGACTAAACTAATCCCTCTCCAGAAAACTTTCTATTTATCTGGTGACTTATGCTTAACCATAAACCCTAAATCTCAAAATTGAGTAGTGGCTCGGTTTTGGTTTATTTCTTTGTTCGGTTTGACGCAATTGGATAAATGTATATAAACCTAAGTGACTCGGCTCACTTCGAAATGGATACAGTAAATGGTAAATAGATTCATAAACATTCTCCAAAATTAAACAAATTGTGAATTTGGATAATCATACGGAGCTTTCGAATCGGTTTAGTTATTATTGTTAGGGGAATCAATTTTGGTTAAGCCTGGTTCAATTTCAGTGGGTTGGTCCAGTTAAGTGATTAACCGTACACCACACGCAGGCTTCTCTCTAGCCATGATTAATACCAGTTGTTGTCGATGGTTTGGACTTGTGTGATTATAACTAATCTAAGATGAATATATCCTGAACGATAATTAAAGCAGAATTTATCCTGAACGATAATTAAAGCAGTGGTTGAATCATCTTAACACGTGGTTTACTTCATAAACTTAACATAGAACTGAATATATAAATTCTGTGTATAGGACCGGAACAGTACTACATTGATCTATAACATTGGAGTATTTGCCCTTTGTAAAGATGAAAAACGTGACATATTAATAAACTAACAAATCCATTTCATTGTCCAACGATTAAGTGTGAATATGCATGCACAAATTTATGTCACAATGCCTACGGCAAAACAATGCCCTTGTCCTTTCATGTCTATCTCCTTTCTATTTCGGTAAATTTTCTCAAGTTTGGTATGTTATCTTATATTTGATCAATTTCTAACAACCCTTTCATTATTCTACTAGAAATTGATTCCTTCTTACCATTAACAAAACTTGACAAAAGCACACTGCATTGTGAATAACAACATAGTTTTTGACTAGTAGATTAAAACCAAGCCGTCTAGGTTAAAAGACCAGACTAATGCTTACTACAACAACGGAAAATGAATCAGCCTTTCTTATATGAACAAACTGAAAATGGAACAAACAAACACACAAAAGACTTGGTTTGTCCATACCTTACGAGTTAAAGTCTACTACCAAAATTATTCATAGTGGTACAAGCCGCTAGTTAAGAAGTGAGATTATACCTTCAATCACCTGAAAAATCAGAGCAAATCCTTTCATTGTTAAGTTGTTTAACCATTAGCAAAAGTTGACAAAAGAAATGCAAAGTGATACAAAATAGTTTCCAAAAAACTAGATTAAAACCAATAAAAGACCAGGACTAATTCATATTGCACTAGCAGAATATGTGAATTAGCTTTCTTAGACGAATAAATCCAAACTGAAACCACATAAAAGAGCCACCTAAAGAGTAAGTCTACTACCAAATTTATTCAAAGAGAATACCTTTCAATCATCTGCAAACGCAGAGCAATGCCTCTCTCTTCCCGCAAGGTTTTAAAAAATATTTTCCCAGTCCCATCCCGAATGATCCATTCACCGTCATCCACTTCCATTGAATAGCCTCTTTTTTTCATCCGACTAAAACTCAAAATGTTTTTGTTGATCCAAGGAACGAAAAGCACATCCTTGATTGTCATCTTCACTCCCTTCATCATGAACTTGACATCTCCTATCCCTTCTACCATGACAACATTCCCGTTGGCTAATTGAACCCCAGCTCTGTATGTTCTGTCCAAAGATGTGAAAAACTTCTCATACGGACTCATGTGATTCTCAGTGGTGGTGTATAGCATCCACATATCCTCATCATATGTAAAATCATCTTTGACTTCCTTCTTCCGATCTATCTTACCATGTGTCGCCGTCCTTATGTTGTCACAGTCTCTAGCATAATGCCCTCTTTCTCCACATTGAAAGCATTGGCCTCTGCCTCCACCCAAGTACACTACCCTAGGGTTGTAATAACAGTCTTCTTGGTTATGATTGTACGTCTCGCACGCACTACACCACATCTCCTCAGACCAGCGTTTTCTAAGAATTATAATGAACTTCATCAACTCCTGAGGCATAGTTTTAGGATTTGATCCAAACATTTCAAAAACCTTAAGAAGATCGCGATGAGTCAGATCAGGCAAAGTCATGAATTCCTTCAACACAGGAATAGAATCATCATATGACCGTGGCAGCGAAGTTAACATCTTCGTGATAACCTTATCATCCGATATCCGATTTCCCAAAACAAAGAACCGTTCAATGATTTCCTCGACTCTTTCCAAGTACAACTTCATTGGTTCTCCTTCATACATCATAAGGTTTTCGAATTGCTTCTCTAATCTACGTAGCTTAGCTTCTTCGTTATCGTTACCTTTTTTGAGCAAATCCCAAAGTTCCTTCGACGAAGCAACCGAGATAGTCTTCCTGAAAACCGAATCTGGGAGAGAAGATTGCATTATCTCAAGCGCTTTGTTGTCTTTCCTCACACGATTTCTCCATTGTGCTAGATCTACGGCTTTGATAGTCGCCGCTAACTCTGGAATCTTCGTTGGATTTGGCGAGACTCCATTTTGAACAACATCCCAAACTCCATTCTCCATCAGTCTAGTTTTCACCATTGGAGACCAATGTTCGTAGTCAAAGTCATCGGAAACACCGTCTTGGAGATTCGCCGCCATAGCCGTAACTGTCGTCAAACCTTTTTCTCTGAATATTCTCTTGGAGCAAGCAAAGCGATTAAACTAATCCTTCACCCCAACACTTTCTATTTATCTTAGTGACTTTTATGCTTAAACGTAAACCCTAGAATTCAATTAAAACTTCATCAAATTGAATTGTGGCTCGGTTTGGTTTTATTCTTGGTTCGGTTCAACGCAATTGAAGAAATATCTATTAACCTAAGTGAATCGGCTCACTTTAAGATGAATGTTACGTTCCATATACACTTGCGAATTAGGTTAATCATAGCTTTCGAATCGGTTTAGTTATTGTTGTTACTTGTTAGGGTTGTAACTGGTCCAATTTAAGTGGGTTGATCCAGTTAAGTGAATAAAGTATAATTAACCCCTACACCACACACCCAAAGCTATAATTAAAGCAGTTGTTAAGAGTTTTCAACCAACACACCACGGAAAATAGAAGTCTGTTTAAACCCGATACAGCATACATTAATCTAAAAATATTTTAGTGTTTGCAATTTTGCACCTTGTAATGATGAAAACGTGATGATAAACTACCAAATCCATTTCGTTGATATGCATGCATAAATTTATGTCACAATGCTACTACGGTCAAAACAATGCCCTTGCCCTACCATGTCTATCTCCTTTCTATTTCGGTAAATTATCTCAAGCTTGGTCCTGTAACCATATATTTGATCAATTTACTATAAACCCTTCCACTTCGTCTCCTTTTCACCATTAACAAAACTTGACAAAAGCACTGCATTGTGAATATATAACAACATAGTTTTTGACTACTAGATTGAAACCAGACCAAGCCGTCTAAGTTAAAAGAACAGACTAATTCATGCTACAACAGCAGAATATGAATCAGCTTTTCTTAGATGAACAAACTTAGAGAAAATGGAACAAACGCACAAACAAACACATAAAAGACTTGATTTGTCCACACCTTACTAGTTAAGTGAAGTCTACTACCAAATTTATTCATAGTGGCCAAGCAGCTCGTTAAGAAGTGAGATTACCTTCAATCACCTGATAACGCATAAAATAACCTCTCCCATCCGTCACGGTTTCCCCAAATACTTTCCCAGTCTTCTCACCCTTAAGAATGCATTTGTTTCCACTAGTTATCATCATGTAGCCTAATTGTCCCAGCTGACCAAGACTCAACACGTTTCTGTAGAGATCAGGAACGAAAAGCACATTCTTGATCGTCTTCTTCTTCCCTTCTTTCGTCAGGATCTTGACATCTCCTCGACCTTCTGCCATGATAAACGATCCGTTGATCAATTTCACCCGAGCCCTGTGTGTTCTGTCTAGAGTGGTGAAAAACTTCAGATATGGAGTCATGTGATTCGTGGTACCGCTGGATAACGTCCACATATCCTCATCAAATGTCTCATGTGCAAGAGTGAATGAATTCATTTCATACACTGGTAATTCATTCGGATTCCTGCTTTGACTCTCTCTCTTTAGTGATTCATATCTGTTAAAAACCACAGCAAGACTCTTAAGAGTCATTTTCTTCAGATCCGAGCGCTCCTCTAATAGCGTAGCTAAATCCTCATGCGACTCAGAGAGCGAGCCTAACACCTTGGTGACAACCTCATAATCAGATTTCCCATTTTTCAAACGACGCAACTGTTCAGCGATTTCTATGACTTTATCTAAGTAGGAATTTGTCGGTTCTGCTTCATCCATAGTAAGTTCTTCGAATTGCTTCTCTAACCTACGTAGCTTAGCTTGTTCATTGTTACCTTTTTCGAGCAAATCCCAAAGATCCTTGGCCGAAGAAGCCGAGAGAGTCTTCCTGAAAGCTGAGTCAGTGAGAGAAGATTGCAAGATCTGGAGCGCTTTCATGTCTTTCACCGCGAGATCTCTCCATTTCGAAACTTCTTCGGCTTGAATCTTCGCCGCTAACTCTGGAATCTTCGACGGATCTGGCGGTACTCCGTTCTCGACAACATCCCAAAGTCCTTTCTCCGTTAGTGTAGTTTTCGCGATTCGAGCCCAAATTTCGTAGTTCAGGTCATCGGAAACACCGTCTTGTTGTTTATTCGCCGCCGCCATAGCCGTAACTATCAGGATCTCTTGGAGAAAGCGAATGGATAAACTAATGGATAAATCACTCGCCTGAACGCTTTCTTTCTATTTATATATACAGTGACATTAAACCAAACAAACCCTAAAGTGCAAACATTTTGGTTATTGGTTCGGTTTACTGCAATTGGAAGATATAGTTAAACCCAAATTATTTCGGTCAATTATTCGGCTCAGTTCCAGATGCGTCTTCTTGAAATCATTTTGACTCCTTAAATTATACACTCGAACTCGAATATACGTGGATTTTAATTAGGGGATGAGTTATTGGTTATAAATATCTATTTGGGTTTAAGTCTGGTTCAAGTATTCAAGTTAAGTGGGTTGATCCGGTTAAGAGATGAACCCCACACGCTAGCTCTCCCCTAACTTGGCTTGTTCGTTGCCTTCTTTCAAAATATCCCAAACATCTTTTGCCGTAGCAGCTGAGGGTCTCCCGGAAACCCCGAATCTCTTAGCACGCATTGCATTATCCGAAACGGTCTTCGTGCATTATCCGAAAAAATCTCTCACAACATTTTCTAATGGAATTCGTCACCTTTTCACCATAAGCAAAACTTGACAAAAGCATTGCATACTTATGCATAGTGAACAACCAAAAATAGTTTTTCAAAACTAGATTAAAACCAAGGTGTCATAGGTTAAAAGACCAGAAGACTACTAATTCATACTACAGTAGCAGAATATGAATTAGACTAGCAAACTGAAAACAGAATAAAACCAAACTAAAAAGACATACGTCCACCTGGCGAGTTAAAGTCTACTACCAGAGTGAAAGGCAGAGCTGATTAAGAGGTGACATTACCTTCAAATCACCTGCAAACGCAGAGACAATCCTCTCTCATCCCACAAAGTATCCCCAAATTCTTTCCCAGTCCGATCGTGAACAATGCATTCGCCTCGTGCTCCATTTATGAATGAACAGCCTCTTGATGTCATCTGACGAACACTCAACACGTTTCTGTTGAGCCCAGGAACAAAAATCACATTGTTGATCGTCTTCTGCTTCCCTTCCTTCATCTTGATCTTTACATCTCCTCTTCCTTCTACCATGATAACTGTTCCGTCAACCAAACCAACCTTAGCTTTGTATGTTCTGTCTAGAGTGGTGAAAAGCTTCTCATATGGAGTCATGTGATTCGTGGCATGGCCGTATATCATCCACATATTCTCATCATATGTGAAATCATTCAAATTCAACGCTGCTAACAGTAGATAATCAACTTCGATTTCTGCTTCCTCAACTATCTCAATCTGAGCATCTCTCGTCGTCTCCGCTGGTTGCTGAATCTTTTTGTTGCAATCTTTGGCTTTATGCCCTCGTTCTCCACATTGAAAGCATTTGCCTTTTTTTGGCTTAGATTGCCTGGCTCCACTGGACTTCCCAGCCCTAGGGATAGAAGAAGAACAGTCTTCTTGGTTGTACTCCTCACCCATCGATCTAAGCCTATTAGCCTTCAACATTAGATGGATAGATTCATCTGTTATCGAATCATAAGTATAAAAAAACTCGACAAAACTCTTAAGACTCATATTCTTCAGATCCATGAGATCCCCCAACACTGGACCTACACCATCATATGACCCTGAGAGCGTGGCCAACACCTTTTCGATAACTTGATAATCAGATTTTGCAATTTGGAAACGGCGCAACTGTTCAACTATCTCTATAACCCTATCTAAGTAGGGATTGATCGGTTCTCCTTCATTCATACTAAGTTCTTCGAATTGCTTTTCTAACCTACGTAGCTTCGCTTGTTCATTGTTACCTTTCTCGAGCGAATCCCAAAGGTCTTTGGAAGAAGCAGCCGAGAGAGTCTTCCTGAAAACGGAATCCGTGAGAGAAGATTGCAAAATCTGGAGCGCTTTCATGTCTTTCACCACGAGGTCTCTCCATTTTGAAAACTCTTCGGCTTGAATCGTCGCTGCTAACTCGGGAATCTTCGATGGATTAGGCGGGACTCCAATTTCAACAACATCCCAAAGTCCTTTCTCCGTTAGTGTAGTTTTCGCGATTGGAGCCCAGATTTCGTAGTTCAGGTCATCGGAAACAATGGCGTCGTATATCTTCGCCGCCGCCATAGCCCTAACTGTCACGGTTTTTTAAAACCTGTTTTCTCTGTATTCCCTTGGAGAAATGGGAAAAGCGAATAAACTATTCTCACAGCAGTGTCACTTTCTATTTATTTAGTCACACTAAACCAAATTACAAACCCTAAATAAATTTTGAAAACATCAAATGAGCAAAGGCTCGGTTTTGGTTCTACTCTTGGTTCGATTTAGCGCAATTGGAATGTTAAACATAGGCCTGGGCATTCGGATTTCGGATCGGATTCGGTTCGGATTTATTCGGATTCGGATAATTCGGGTAGGAGATTTTATTATCCGTTCGGATTTTATGACTATTCGGATCGGATTCGGTTCGGATAGTGTCGGATTCGGATCGGTTTCGGATTAATTTTGGATCGGTTTGCGAGGAAAAAAAACTAAAAAAATGTTCAATTTAAATAAAAAATAGTTTTAATCTTACTAAAATTTGGCTAAGTTTTCCAAAAATATGTATAATTTTAACAAATATAACTAAAAACTTTCCGATATCTAGGTTATTTAGGATATTTTTGTTATTTGTTATAAAATTATAGCTAAATATAACTAATATTTTTGGAAATATAATTTTATTTTCGGTTTTCGGATATCCTTTCGGTTTTCGGTTCGGATCGGGTTCGGTTCGGATAATTCGGATAGGAGAATTCATTATCCGTTCGGGTTTTGTGACTATTCGGTTCGGATTCGGAGCCGGATTTTTCGGATCGGTTTCGGATCGGTTTTCGGATTTCGGATTTTATGCCCAGGCCTAGTTAAACACCCCGAATCGGTTCTGGTTCGGATGTAATTGGATGAGTTATTGTTAGTGGTTCTATCTGGTTCAAGTTAAGTGGGTTGATCCGGTTAAGTGCTTTAACCCTACACGGCTAAACCACCCGCAAACTTCTCCGGTTCTCCCCAGACTCTCTGATGGATTTGGATTTTTGGATTTAAAAGCCTATCAGTGATCTAGAACATTTGAGTAATTGCAGTTTGTAAAAACGAAAAATGTGATTCAGATAAGGAGAAAAAAAAGTGGTAACAAGTTCAATTCATTGTACAACAATAATGAATACTTCCAAGTTTGTGTCAAAATGTATATGGCCAAAATCTGTCCTTCCATGTCTGTCAACTTTCTATTTCGATATATTTTCTCAAGTTTGGTATGTTATCATATATTTGATCAATTTTCTAACAAGTAAAAACCCTTTCATTATTCTACTGGAATTGGTCTCCTTCTCACCATTATCAAAACTTGACAAAGTGATGACAAAATAGTTTCTGAAAAACTATATTAAAACCAACCCTCCCTACGTTAAAGACTAATTCATACTGCAGTAGCCGAATATGTATTAGCTTTCCTTAGACGATCAAACTGAAAACGAAATCAAACCAAACTAGAAAGACCACATAGAAGACTGATATGTCCACCTGACGAGTTAAGTCTACTACCAAATGTAGCCATCATGAAAAGTAGCTACTTATGAGGTGAGATTACCTTCAATCACCTTCAAACGCAAAGCCAATTCGTTCTCATCCGACATCCACATACTTTCCCCAACTTCTTCATCATTCCGAGTTTCGACAATGCATTCGCCTCTCATTCCTGTTCTGATTGAGTAGCGTTTTGATAACATCTTACCAAAACTTAACACATTTCTGTTGAGTCCGGGAACAAAAATCACATTCCTGATCGTCTTCTTCTTCCCTTCCTTCATCCTGATCTTAACATCTCCTTTTCCTTCTACCATAAGAACTGCTCCATCGACCGTTCCAACCGTAGCTTTGAATGTCCTGTCAAGAGTGGTGAAATACTTCACATATGGAGTCATGTGAACCGGAGACTCCATGTGTATTATCCAAATATCCTCATCATATGTTTTTTCCCCTAAATTTGGTGCAGTTACCAGACGATAATCAACTGCGCTTTCTTCTTCTTCCTCCTTATCTATCTGACTCTTAAAGTTGCAGTCTTCTTGGTTGTGATTGTTCTTGTAGCAAAAGCCACACCACTTGTCAGACTTTGATTTAAGCCTCAAATCCTTCAAGAGTCCAAAGATATCTTCCTCTGTCACTGATTCATATCCATGAGAATAAAAAAACTCAACAAGACTCTTACTAGTCATCTTATGCACATCAATGAGTTCCTTCAACATTGAATCTAGACGGAGTGACGTGAACACCTTCTTGCAAATCTCGTAATCGGATTTCTCAATTTTCAAAGGACGCAACTGATCAACGATTTCCAAAACCCTAGCTAAGTAGGAATCGACAGATTCTTTCTCGACCATTTTAAGTTCTTCGAATTGCTTCTCTAATCTACGTAGCGTTGCTTGTTCGTTACCTTTCCGAAGCAAATCCCAGACATCTTTGGCCGAAGAAGCCGAGAGAGTTTTCCTGAAAGCATAATCCGTGAGAGAAGATTGCAAGATTTGAAGCGCTTTCGCGTCTTTCACCACGAGATCTCTCCATTTCGAAAGCTCTTCGGGTTGAATCTTCGCCGCTAACTCTGGAATCTTCGATGGATCCGGCGGGACTCCGTTCTCGACAACATCCCAAAGTCCTTTCTCGATTAGCGTCGTTTTCGTGACCGGAGCCCAGATTTCATAGTCAAAGTCATCGGAAACAACAGCGTCGTGTATATTGGCCGTCGCCATAACTGTAACTATCAGAGATTTGATTCTTTAAACTTTCTTTTTCCTCGTGGAGAATGCGAATGAATAAACTAATCACTAACCCAAAACACTTTCTGTTTATATAGTCACATTAATTAAACCCTAAATTGGAAATCACCAATCAGCGATTTTGCTTCTTCTACATTTGGTTCGGTTTAATGTAATTGGGGAAAATATTATTGTTGGTTAAGGCTTCTAATATTGGGTTAAATATAAGTTTTAAACTTTCGTACGTATTTCTTATGATTTCTATTAACTGATTTTATGTCTTGATATTAATATATTTTAGATGGCAATGTATATTTTTTTTTACTAAAAAAAGGTTTTGGAGGGAAAATTGTTTTTTACAACTCTCTCTCAGTCTCTCTACATAATTTTCATTATATAAACACAAAAAGGAATTATTATTTTTTGACGTCAATTTCATTAAATCCTTATAGGATTATATGGTGAAAGAGAGCCCACATACACAAAATTAACCCAAATATTGATTACAACGAAAGAACAAAATGGGTCAAGAACGGACACTAACCCAAATTATTATTACTTTTTTTTGGTAACAGATTTCAGAATTTGTTACATACAGTATCTATATTTATGAGTTGTTATTTATTTCCGTTTTTAATTTATTTTGTAAATATATTTTCTTAATTATGATATACGTTTTCCCGTTCTCCAGTATCTATTTTCCATTGTTAATTGATTTCTTTCTAGTATACAAGATTTTCGCCATTTATTGTGGTTATTCATCTAATCGCTTATATATATGGTCTTTACATATACATTACCATCACATACATCTCTTTTTTTTACTTTGACATCTTCATTACAATTGAATATATCATCAAAGATGACTTTCCGAGCCACCATTCTTGCTATCTTCATGATTGTCCTTGTTCTAGGTTTGCTCTACTTTTAAGTTTTACCATTCTGATCTTAACATATTATAGTAAATTTATATTAAAGGGCAGATAAACTAACATTTTAAATATTTATTAGGGATGGAAACAAAAGAGACTCAAGGACAAGAAACGTGTCATGATCTTATAATGAAAAGAGATTGTGACGAAGCTACGTGTGTCACAAAGTGTCAGCAAAAATGGAAGGGAAGTGGTGGCTCGTGCTTCCAAAACTTCAATGTAATGAGTTGCCTTTGCAATTTTCCATGCCAAGTTTGAATGAAATGTTCTTTCTTTCTTTTTTGTTATAGACTTATAGTTTAAACTATAATCTATCAATAACAATCCCCAAAATGTTTCCCTACAAAGATTATTGATGTGATAATCTTGTAGCGTTTTTATAATATTTGGGATGGGTTAATGTGATTGTTGTCGGTTAGATTATTCATTTACCCAACATGAAAGCTCTTTATTCAGTGTTTCAACGATTTAATCCGCCACAAATTAAATCCCAAATCGACTACACATCATTTGACACATTGATTTTAACATTTCTGTCTCCTTTTCATCATCAAAAAAAATTGACAAAAGCATTGAATATTGAATAATAAAAAAATATATACTTGAAAACTAGATTAATACGTACCAACCAAGCCGTCCTAGGTTAAAAGACCACTGATTAATTCATACTGCAGTAACCAGAACATGGTTTAAACGAACAATAAAACAGAATGTAACCAAACTAAAAAAACACCACATAAAAGACATATTCGTCCACCTACTACTAGTAAAGTCTATTACCAAAGTAAAAGGCAGAGCTAATTAAGAGGTGAGATTTCTAATAATTAGAGGTTATATTAGTTTTAAGTAAGTATGAAAATACAAATATTCTGGATATCCAATTCTGTTTATATAGTAGAATCCCATATTTTCTCATTTATGTCTACACACTAAAACAGAAAAATATCTTATAAAAAGATTTTAAACTATTGAAACCAAAATAATTAAAATCGAACTATCTAAATAAAAAAATAAAAGAAAGTACGAAGTCGTAAACGCTAAACATGTAAATTGCATGAATTTCAGATTCTGTTACATACAGTATCTATATTTTTGAGAATGTATTTTGTATTATTTAACATATACCAAATGTACAAAAAAAATTATGTATATAGTTTATTGAGTTGTTTATTTGTTTTCATTTTTAATTTATTTGTAAATATATTTCTTAATTATGTTCAACTGTTAACTTGTTAACTGATTTCTTTCTAGTATAAATGATTTTCTCCTTTCACTGTATGTATGCATCTAATTGCTTATATATATGATTTTTACATATACACTACAATTACATACATTTCTTTAGCTTTGAAATCTTCGTATCAGTTTGTATATATCATCAAAGATGACTTACCAAGCCACCATTCTTGCTATCTTCATGATTGTCCTTGTTCTAGGTTTGCTTTACTTTAAAGTCTTAACATTCTCTTCACATATTATAATAATTTACATTGAAGGGAAGAAAAAATTAACATTCATAAACATTTAATTTGCTTTTTTAGGGATGGAAACGAAAGAGACGCAAGGACAAGAAATGTGTCATGATCTTATAAAAAAAACAGATTGCGATGATGCTATGTGTGTCACTATGTGTAAGCAAAAATGGAAGGGAGGTGGTGGCTCGTGTTTCCAAAACGTAAATTTAAAGAGTTGTCTTTGCGCTTTTCCATGCCAAGTTTGAAATGTTCTTTTCTAGTTATAGACTTACAGGAGTATAAACTATAATCTATCAATAACAATCACAAAAATGTTTCCATCTACAAAAATAAACACAATTTATACTAAAGATTATTAATGTTATAACTTTGTAGCGTTTTTATAGTAGTTTGGATATGGGGTTAATTTGATTGTCTCGGTTTAGATTATTCATTTATCCAACATGTTAGCTCGTTTATCTAGTGTTTGAACGATTTTATCTGCCACAAATATAATCCCTAAATCGACTGTACTAAACTACTAATCATTCGACACACTGATTTTAAGATGTTTGTCCAACATTTCTGTTCATTTTCACCATGAACAAAACTTTGACAAAGGCATTGCATAGTGAAGAACAAAATAGTACTTGAAAACTTGATTAATACGTAACAAGCCGTCCTAGGTTTGCAGAATATGAACTAGAAGAACAAACTGAAAACATAATAAACCGAAACTAAAAAACCACATAGAGACATAAGCGTTCCATCTTACGTGTTAAAGTCTTCTACCAAAGTTCAAGACAGAGCTCATTAAGAGGTGAGATTACCTTCAATCACCTTCAAACGCAAAGCCAATCCTTTCTCTTCCCACATCCACAAAGTTTCCCCAAATTCATCCTTAGTCCGATCGCGGATAATGCATTCGCCTCCACGTCCCTCTGTGAATGAATAGCCTCTCGACGTCATCTGACTAAGACTTAACACGTTTCTGTTGAGCCCGGGAACAAAAATCACATTCTTGATAGTCTTCGTCTTCCCTCCCTTCATCTTGATCTTAACATCTCCTTTTCCTTCAACCTTAAGAACTCTTCCATCAGCCAATCCAACCTTAGCTTTGTGTGTCCTGTCTAGAGTGGTGAAATACTTCGCATATGGAGTCATGTGAATCGTAGCAAGCCCGTATACCATCCAAATATCCTCATCATATGATTTTTCCCCTAAAGTTACATCCGTCGACAGTACATAATTAACTACAATTTCTTCTTCTTCTTCTTCTTCTTCTTCCATCGGATTCCTTCTTTTGCAGTCTTCAAAGTTGTGACTAACCTTGTAGCACAAGTCACACCACTTCTTAGACTTTGATTTAAGCCTCAAATTCTTCAACAGTCCAAGGAAAACTTCCTCATTCACTGAATCAAAATCATATCCATTAAGGAAGAAATACTGACAAAGACTCGCAGCAGTCATCTTATGAACATTCATGATTTCCTCCATCATTGATTGTATCTCATCGTATGACTCTAAGAGCGAAGCAAACACCTTCTTACAAATCTCGTACTCAGGTTTCTCAACTTTCAAAACACGTAACTCACCAACGATTTCCATAATCCTATCTATGTATGAATCGGTAGATTCTTTTTCATTCCTTTTGAGTTCTTCGAATTGCTTCTCTAATCTACGTATCGTTGCTTGTTCGTTACCTTTCTGAAGCAAATCCCAAACATCTTTCGCCGAAGAAGCAGAGAGAGTCTTTCTGAAAGCAGAATCTGGGAGAGAAGAAGATTGCAAGATCTGGAGAGCTTTCATGTCTTTCACCGCCAGATCTCTCCATTTTGATAGTTCGTCGGGTTTAATCTTCGCTGCTGACTCTGGAATCTTTGATGGATCTGGCGGGACTCCGTTCTCGACGACATCCCAAAGTCCTTTCTCGATTATTGTAGTTTTCGTGACCGAAGACCAGATTTCATAGTCAAAGTCACCGGAAAAAGCGTCGTGTGTATTCGCCGCCGCCATGGACGTAACTGTCAGAGATTCTTTAAACTTCCTTTTCTCTATATTCTCTCGGAGTATGTGTGAATAGTTTATTCGATCACTAGAACAGTTTCTATTTATATAGTCACACTAAGCCTAACCGTAAACCCTAAATCAATTTGAAAATCACCATATGATCGGTTTAGGGGTAGACCATTTGATTTTAGACTCGGTTTAGGTCCTATCTTTGGTTTGGTTTAAGACAATCGGAGAAAATATTTATCCAAATTGCTCGGTTCAAGCGTGTTAAAATTACTAGGGAGTTCTTGAATCGGATCTGGTTCGTATTTTAAAGGGAGATCAAATTTAGCTAATACTGGTGAGCCTTTTGCCTTTCCCATAGTTAAATCATAAATGCATCCTCGAATAAATAAAAGTTTAACCAAAAATAAACAAAAACGGCTGCACTAATCATTTATTCAATTATTTAGCTTTCTTATAACGAAGAAACAAAATGAAAACCAATTAAACCGAACCAAATCCATCCATCTGTTCCTGCATGGCTCTAAGATGAAAAATCATAATGTGTAAATTTTCTCTTCTTGCTTTGAGAATTACCTTCAATCACAACATTCCAACGCAAGCAATAGCCTCTGTTTTCCCACATGGTTTTACCAAAACACTTGCCACTCTTCTTATTCCATATAGTGCATCTTTTTTCATCAAAAGCAACTCCAAATCCGCTCTTCTCCATCTGAGAAACACTTAACGCGTTTCCCTCGATCCCTGGAACATAAAGCACATTCTTGATCGTCTGATTACCTTCCTTAGTAATAAAAGTCACATCTCCAATTCCTTCTGCCATGATGGTCTTATCCCCAGATGTGAATTTAACCTTAGCTCTCTTTGATCTATCTAAAGAGGTGAAAAACCTCTCATGTGGAGTCATATGATTCGAGTTAATGGAGCTTATCAACCATATATTCCAATGACCAGTGAACCCACCAACAAAACATTCAGCTACATGATCAGGTACTTGGTTTAACATATCCCAAAGATCCTTAGCCGAAGCAGCTGAGAGAGTCTTTCTGAAAACAGAATCTGGGAGACTTGACTGCAATATTTGGAGTGCTTTCAAGTCTTCTCTCACAAGTTCTCTCCAGTTGCAAAGCTCTTCGGCTTGAATCGTCGCTGCTAACTCTGGAATCTTCGATGGATCCGGCGGGACTCTGTTGGCGACAACATCCCAAAGTCCCTTCTCTGTAAGAGTGGTTTTCATCTTCACCGACCAGACTTCAATGTTCAGGTCATCGGAAATGACCTCTTGTAGAGTCGGTGGTCTCTCCACATACATAACCACCATCTCCTCGTAGTACTAAGTTAGGATTTCCTCTGTTTGTATTATCTTGGAGAAGCGATTATTTATATTCATCGTTGTATCATTACAAACCCTAAATTCTATTTTAGTTTGAATTTTGAAATAAAAAAAACTGCATATTCGCCGCCGTCGTATCCGCATGTTTCTTTTAAACTTATATATTCTTTTCAGTTTTGAGAAAAGCCAAATAACGTTTTAAGTTTTGGTTCAATTTAAATGGATTGATCTGGTTAAGTGAATAACCGTAATCCACACGCAAGCTTCTCTCCACACGCAAGCTTCAACAAGAATCGTTGCTGGTTTTGACTTGTGATTAGACCTAACCACGCCAAGATGATGCAATGTATTTGAATGAAGCAACCATTGAGTTTTTAATTCAATGAACATCGAAATTTGATGAGAGCAAAACTATTAGTATATTTTTTAGAATTGTTTACGTTTCTTTATTTTAGTACTAGAGGAAAGAAATAGTTTTCTCCTCTAAACTAGGAGCATATTCCCCCACTCTTCCAATTTCCGAAACTGTAGTTTCCATGTTGTTTCTCTATCTAAAGGAAAGACATCAAGGTCGATTAATGAAAAGAGAAGAAAAACTGTCTAAGAAACTTCTGTTTTTGTCTTGTTCTTTATGAGCAATTCTCTTTGATTGTTAACATTTGGTAATCACTCTTCAAAGCCAAGTTAACATTTGGCTCGAGGTAGTGGTTTATCATCCACATATCCTTATCAAATGTCAAAGGACCAACATTGAATGGCATTTGATACTCAGGTAATTCTTCATTCTTCTTTCTGTTGCTACAGTCTTTGAAGACATGCCCTTTACCTCCACATTGAATACACTTTCCTCTTTCGTGCCTAGATCTCATTACCCTTTTCTAATCCGCTTCTTTAGATTGTGATGATTACAAATATAAGACGGCCGAAGACAAGATTTACCCGGAGTCTAAAAGCCATATAAAAAGGAAGCAAAGTAGTAAACTACGAGGCAAAGGATACAATGAAAGGAGAGAACAACCCATAAGAGACTATGATAGAAGCTAACTAAACTCGACAGATGGAATCATACTAAATCAACAAGGCACCCTAACTTAGTGTTAGTGAGAAACTTTCCAAGAACATAACGCAGGCAAAAGCCTCTCTCTTGCTTTGAACTACATGATCATGTAAAACAGTCTATTGTCCTGCCTCTAAAATTAAACTTAAGTAAATTTTCTCTTCTTGCTTTGAAAATGACCTTCAATCACATCCAAACGCATGCGAAAGCCTCTCTCTCCCAACATGGTTTCACCAAAATAATTCCTAGCCGTCCGATCCCATATAGTGCATCTTTCTCTATCCATTCTAACTTCAAAGCCACTCCTCAGCATCTGAGAAACACTCAATGCATTTCCCACGACCCCTGGAACGTAAAGAACATTCTTGATCGTCTTCTTACCTTCTTGAGTCATGATAGTCACATCTCCAATTCCTTCTGCCATGGTAGTATCTCCATTTGTGAATCTAACCATAGCTTTCCGCGATCTGTCTAAAGTGGTGAAAAACTTCTCATATGAAGTTATATGATTCGAGTTAGTGGAGCTTATCTTCCAGACATTCTCATAAACTGGGCTATTATCATCATCAAAACATTCAATTACATGATCAGGTACTTGGTTTAGCATATCCCAAAGATCCTTAGCCGAAGCAGCAGAGAGAGTCATTCTAAAAACAGAATCTGTGAGAGAAGACTGCAATATCTGGAGTGCTTTCATGTCTTCTCTCGCAAGTTCTCTCCAATTGCAAAGCTCTTCGGCTTGAATCTTCGCCGCCAACTCTGGAATCTTCGATGGATCTGGCGGGATTTCATTCGCAACCACATCCCAAAGTCCTTTCTCCGTTAGCGTGGTTTTCATCATCGCCGACCAGACTTCAATGTTTAGGTCATCGGAAATAATGTCTTGTAGATTCGGTCTTCTCGCCGCCCACCAATCCCCTTTTATTATCATTTTTGTATCTCCGACAAAGCGAATAAACTATTACCCTCAAACCCCAACACTATCTATTTTTTTAATTCTTTCCAAAAACGGCGGCTGAGAAGCAAAACCCTAAGTCTTAACGAAGAAGATGATATGATGCTAGTAGTGCTCGTATTAGTTATTGACTGGGCTTTCAACAGATTTAACGCACTAGTTATTAAATGCGCTTGCAATTAAAGCCCATAGACCCAATTTTTAATATCCTTTTAAGGACGGCCAATAACGTATAAGTCTTGGTTCAATTTAAATGCATTGATCCGGTTTAGTAAATAACCGTAAGCCACACGCAAGCTTAATTCTCTCCACAGATGGGTCAAACAAGAATAGTTGATGGTTTGGACTTGTGAATTGTGATCAGAGCTAACCACACCAAGATGATGCAATGCATTTGAACGATGATTGAAGCAGTCATTGAGTTTTTGAATTTGACTTTCTACACAGTCATGAACATAAGCAATACACATACTAATATGTTCATATCGTAAAAACAAAAGCAGAGGATAGAGTAATCCAATGGTCCAAACTGAAAACTGAATAAACCAGACCAAATCCGCATAATAAACTGATTACTAGTAAGTCTAGTAATTAAGAGATGAGTTCATATCCGGAAAAACAGTAGCAGAGCACAGAGTAATCCAAAATATTTTCCTGAAAACTAGATTAATGCCAGATGATCCAAACTAAAAACCGAATAAACCCAACCAAATCCGCATAGCAGACCAATTACTAGTTAGTCTAGCAATTAGAGGTTACCTTCAACCACCTCCAAACGCAGAAAAAAGCCTCTCTCTTCCCACATGGATTCACCAAATAGTCTCCCACTCTGATCCTTTATAGTGCATTTGTGAGCGGTCATTACAATTCCGTAGTCTGCCTGTGCCATCTGACCAACACTCAACACGTTTCTGTCAATCTTGGGAACAAAAAGCACATTCTTGATCGTCTTCTTCTTCCCTTCCTTGGTCATGATCCTGATATCTCCCATTCCTTCAGACATGATAGAATGTCCGAAGATGAATTTGATCCTACCTCTGTGTGTTCTGTCTAAAGTGGTGAAATACTCCTCATACGGAGTCATATGGTTAGTGGTAGTGGTGTATATCATCCACATATCCTTATCAAATGTCACAGGCCCAACATTGAATGCTAACATTTGATACTCAGGTAATGCTTCATTCTTCTTTCTATTGATACAGTCTTTGAAGACATGCCCTTTACCTCCACATTGAATACACTCTCCTCTTTCATGCCTAGATCTCATGACCCTTTTCGAATCAGGTTCTTTAGATTGTGATGATGAGATACGTTCTCCTTCAAACATCCTAACTTGTTTGAATTCCTTGTCTAACTTGGCTTGTTTGTTAGCTTCTTTTAGCAAATCCTTAAGAACTTTGGCTGAAACACAAACTTCTTTCGATTGTAGTGATGATCCAACCTCAGATCCTTCCATAATTCCATAGATGGTCTCCATTGGTACTGATTCAAATACATCAAGAAGCTCACGAAAACTGTTAAAAGTGAGATTCTTCACACCCATGAGTTCCTCCATCACCAGAGCTGCACCATCATCACATGAATCTGACATGGAGGCTAACATTGCGATAAAACATTTAGAACTGTATGATGATTCAAACTCCATTCCTTTCACAAATTCATACAAGGTCTCATCAACTGTTGATGATTCAATTTCATCAAGAAGCCGACGAAAACAGTTAAAAGTCAGATTCTGTAGACCCATGAGTTCCTCCGCTGCACCATCCTTTGAATCTGACAGCGAGATTATCAGTTTAGTGATAGCCAGATAACTGGAACTGAACAATGACGAGATACGTTTTCCTTCTTCTATCTTAACTTGTTCGAGTTTCTTCTCTAACTTGGCTTGTTTGTTAGCTGATTTCAGCAAATCCCAAAGATCTTTGGCTGAAGCAGTCTCGAGTGTCAATCTGAAAACAGTTTCCGGGAGACAAGACTGCAAAATCTGAAGCGCTTTTGTGTCTTTTCCAACAAAATCTCTCCATTTAGAAAGATCCTCCGGTTGAATCTTCGTCGCTAGATCTGGAATCTTCGATGGATTCGGCGGGACTCCGTTCTCGACAACATCCCAAAGTCCTTTTTCAGTTAGATTAGTTTTCACGATTGGAGCCCATCGTTCATAGTTAAGGTTATCGGAAACAACGTCTTGTAGAGTCGGTGTCTTTGTCGCCGCCATAGCCGCCGATTGTTAGGGTTTCGTGACTTTCTTCTCTGTTTATTCCTCTTGGAGAAGACGAACGGTTTTGTTCCTTTTCCTCCAACACTTTCTATTTATACAAACCGTATACCCTATGTCCAATGTGAACCGGAAATTATATATGGTTCAGTTTAATTGGATTGATCGGTTAGGTGATTAATGTCTGTAGTTAAGCCATAACATTCTCAAACAAAATTATACAAAAATCACCTAATTCTGTAGATTTGTACAACGTGAACGCGAGCTCTTTCCTCTTTAGTTAAGCCATAACATTCTCAAACAAAATTATACAAAAAAATTTGATTCCTTTTTTTTTTTATTGTTACATTTGAGTCAATTTTGGTTGAGTATGGTTAATTTTAATTGGGTTAATCAGGTTAAGTTATTACACGACATGCAATGCAAGTTTCTCTCCAACGCTATTCAAGAAGGATGGTTGATGGTTTTGACTTGTGAGACCACGCCAAGATGATTTACCATAGAGACTTAACATTGCACTAGATATATGTTCATATTCCAAAAGCAGTCGCAGCATACAGTAATCAAAATATTTCCTCAAAACTAAGATTGATATTTGATGCCACATTAATTGTCCAAATTGGAAAACTGAATCAACCTAACTAAATCCGCATAGTAGACAGATTACTAGTAAGTCTAGCAACTAAGAGGTGAGATTACCTTCAACTACCTGCAAACGCAGAAAAAAACCTCTCTTTTCCAAAAAGGATTGACCAAATAATCTCCCATTCTGATCTTTTATAGTGCATCTGTCATCGATCCTTCTGATACTGTAGCCTAATTCTGCCAACTGGTGAACACTCAACACGTTTCTGTCCATCCCCGGAACATAAAGCACATTCTTGATCATCTTAGTCTTCCCTTCCTTGGTCATGATCCTGACATCTCCCATTCCTTGAGACACGATTGATTGTATACGAGATCTGCGTGATCTGTCTAAAGTGGAGAAATACTTTATATATGGAGTCATATGGTTAGTGGTATTGGTGTATAGCATCCACATATCCTCATCAAATGTCACAGGACCAACATTCCTGCTTTGAATCTTTTTGTCGCTACAGTCTTTGAAGACATGCCCTTTTCCTCCACAATGAATACACTCTCCTCTTTCATGCCTAGATCTTATTACCCTTTTCAAATCCATGGAAGCAGAACAAACTCCTTCTTTCTTCTCTACATTGACTTCTTTTAGGAAATCCCTAACATCATTGGCTGAATAACAAACTTCTTTCGTATGTAATGATGATCCAACCTCAAAGTCATTCATAATATCACTGATGGTCTTCAATGGTACTAATTCAAACAAATCAAAAAGCTCACGAGAATTGTTATAAGTGAGATTCTTCACACACATTAGTTCCTCCATCACCAGAGCAGCACCATCATATGAATCTGACATCGAGGTTAACCATTTGATAAAACTTTCCAAATCTTGTGATGATGATCCATACCCATTTACTATCATAATTTCGTACAAGGTGTGATTCACTGTCGATAATTCAAATCGAGCAAGAAGCAGACGAAATCGGTTAAAAGTTAGCTTCTTTAGACCCGCGAGTATGAGTTCGTCCGTTTCATTCTCATATGAATCTGACAGCGAGATTACCATTTTGGCGATGGCCAGATAAATGGATTTTGAACTGTCATTAACAATCTCCATCAACAATGAGGAGATACGTTCTCCTTCTTTGATCTTATCTTGTTCGAGTTTCTTCTCAAACTTGGCCTTTTCGTTAGCTTCTTTAAGCAAATCCCAAAGATCTTTGGCTGAATTGGCTTCGAGTGTCAATCTCAAAACCGAATCTGGGAGACAAGATTGCAAAATCTGAAGCGCTTCTGTGTCTTTTCCCATAAAGTCTCTCCATTTCGGAAGATCTTCCGGTGGAGTCTCCGTCGCTAGCTCTGGAAGTTTCGACAGATCCGCCGGGATTAGATTTTCAACAACATCCCAAAGTCCTTTTTCCGTTAGAGTAGTTTTCACGGTTGGAGCCCAGAGTTCATAGTTAAGGTCATCGGAAACAACGTCTTGTAGAGTCGGTTTCTTCGCCGCCGCCATTGCCGGCGAATGTTGGGTTTCTTGACTTTCTTCTCTGTATATTCCTCCTCTTGGAGAAGACGACTAACGGTTTTGTTCCTTTTACTCTTCTTTCTTAACACTTCCTATTTGTAGAGATAAGCCAAACCGTAAATTAAATATGGTTAAGACTGGTTCAGTTAAATTGGATTGACCGGTTAGGTGTTTGATATCTGTACAACGTAAACGCGAGCTCTTTCCTTCCTCTTTAGCTAAGCAACAACTATTATAACATTCTCAAACAAAATTATACTAAAATTCTGAGGCAAAAGTCAAAACTAAGAACTTTAACTACTGTTTTATTGTAAAATCGTGTTATATAATACTCTGGAAATTTCAAATATTTTGGTACATCTTTCTTTGGTTAACCTCAAATAATCAAAACAAGTGTAGGTTAACAAAAGTTACAAAACAAATCAACTCTTATCTCTCAGTAGATTCTTGAGTGTGATTCAAAAGCCCAGAAACACTAGGGTTGAAGAAAAAAGTGCACTCACTGGGATTTATTCTTCTGTACACTAAAGAGCAGAGCAGATTAGCTACAGGAGGACTTTTACTCTACTCTCATCTCTCCAGACAATGTTCCCTCTTCATCTTCCCCATCGAACTCTTGTTCTACACCTTTCACCTGCACGAAAACCCTTTCATTAGAAGAATGCGACGGTAACGAGTTATTAATTCTTCATTGGTTGCTTAACAGTTAACAGCAAAACTTGAACACAGACATACAGGTTTAGAATTATCCATATGTAGTAAAAATAATGTTAGGAGGATCTCTGTTACCTCGGATACATAATGCATCAGCATGTTTTCGATTCCCGATTTCAAAGTAACAGATGAGCTCGGACAACCACTACAAGCTCCTTGCATCCTCAGCTTCACTATACCACTTTCCCTGATTAAACCCACCCAAAGGATTTTTACTTAAGGCTTAAGAGACTAGAAAAAGAAACAGGTTTCATTGACCATTGCTACAACTCAAGGAAGTAAACTTACGGATCAAACCCACAATACTCGATGTCCCCACCATCATCTTGGACTGCTGGTCTGATGCGTGTTTCTAAGAGTTCCTTGATCATTGCTACTGTTTCAGAATCATCCTGAATCACAAAAGTTTCACCAATGAGTAAAATTAACAACACCCTGTCACCATTGGCTTTCCTACCAAAATCTTGGAGAGCATTGCAAAACGTCAAATCCATAATTAACAGAACATCAACTTTATGGGGAAATGGCCTCTCTCATTCTAATTGGCACGCTCAGCTACTACTTCAAAATCATAACTCATACTCATTTTCAACAGTTCATCAAAGCAACTAGCATAAATTCCATTATCAAGTATCCCATGTTTAGTGTATTTATAACGTTTACAGCAAACTATCACTCTCAATTACTGAATCAATGTTCGAGCATGCGCCGACAAGGAGTCAACCAACACAAACTAAACAAAATGGAAGTATGCTATGAAAACTCAGCTAGTCAAGATCATAACTCATATTCATCAGCTCACCAAAGCAACTGGCATATATTCCATAAACAAGTAGATCATGTCTATATAAAGTTTACAGCAAACTATCACTCTCCAATCCCCCAAGAAGATGTTCAATCATGCACCAGACAACGAACACAAACTATATAAGAAACAATCACCCTGAAGAATCCAGGAGGTCCAGAAAAGCACACTCTAAACAAAACTAACTAATGGGAAAGAGAGGAAGCGATCACGAGAAGGGGTTTACCTCGCTGATGGCAGTATCCTTGGCAGCAGCAGCTTGAGAGTCGAGAAACAAAGGCTGGCCAGAAGAATAGAAATCCATGACTGCTGCAAATATCTCAGGCTTGAGGATATCCCATGATACATCATCTGACTTAGTTACAGTAACAAAATCTGACCCAAAGAAAACTCGAACTACACCTGCAAAATCAAGTAAAGAACAAGACCATAATCACATGAAAGACAAAGTCTTAAGATTGAATATACGAAAGAAAAGATTACACACAAGGGTTAATACCATCAATGGAGTAAATGGATTTGGCTAATGGCGAACCCAGAGCTGAACGAACATTAGGAAAATCTGCGCTTCCAACTTCCATGACTGGTTTGCCAGGATAAAACATGAGAGAAGAAGGATTTGGAGTTGATTGTGTTTGGATAAACATTGTTCTTCTCTGCCCTGCTTAAAAATAAACCCACGAATTAGGCTAATTAGACCCTTAAATTCGCCAAAATGATTCGTTTCAATGACTCGAAAGATAAACGATTGTTCTAACTAGAAAAGCCTGAAACAATCTGATTTCTGAAAAATCCCAACTAAAAAACATTCTAGAAGATCGATACCTCCGAGGAAGTTCCATTTCTGAGGAAGTGAAGAAGATTTCAACGAGGTAAGAGCAGAATCCTTGGTCCGAGAATTGGTGGCAGAGATGAAAAGCGAGCGACGAGATAGCAGAAGAGAGGAGGAAGACGAAGAAGAAGAAGATACAGTACTACTTCTTCCAGAAACGATCTCGCGACCTCCGATTCGCGATAGACAAGTTACAAGCCTCGCAATCCTTTTCATTGCGTCGACCAATTAGGGTTTCGTTCTAATCGCTAAACGGACCGGTGGGAAAAAAGAACCAGAGAAGAAGAAGCTTGTGACGTCGTCGTTGGGATGGATTGTATTTGTCGGAGAGATCTCTGATAACGGCGATACCGTATATACGCGTTTTATTTACTTTTAGTTATTTACAAAAAAGTACAAACAAAAAAAAAATGTTATTTACCGCCTTTTGAACAAAAAAAAAAAATGTTATTTACCGCCTTAAGCATATCTAGTTATCTTTAGGAAAAAAGATACTCAGCTACACGAAGTATAACAGAATACATGGCTACACATGCCAAGTTTAAAAATGTACAACCAACTACACGAACTAAATGTATTGCATGCCCACATATACCAACTATATGACGACATGTAGTCAACATCACAAACATTTTATTCTTGTACACTAATCATCAAAATCCGCCGTTGACCATCGTTGACCGGTATTGACCGGCATTGACCAACAAAAATATTCAAAAATATATATTTTTAATTATTTTAAATATTTTTAAAAATAATTATTCTTTTAAATCGTTTATGGTATTGTATAATAAAAAAAACACATTCTATATTTTAAAAAAATATATTTTGTATGATTAAATAATTAGTTAATTTTTTCAATTTTAAACCGAAACTAAAAGTGAAATAAATAAAATTTTATTAGAAAAATTTGAGTATATGACTCTTTAGTCTAAAGTTTGCATGGTAAAAAAATATAACTTTTTTTGCTAAAATCAAAATCATAATACATAAATAAAAATATAGAAAATTTTATATACTCTGTAGTCTAAATTTAATATATTGTGAATTTTTGTAATTAAAATTATTAAAACAAATTCTTGTAATAACGCGTAAACAACAAAAAATTCGCAATATTTCTTTTTAATATATAGAAAATAGAAAATCTAATGATATTGATTTTAGCAAAAGCATTTGTAATTACAAAAAACTAACTAATTATAATAATCAATGTATTAAATATATATACAAAATATCTTTATGTTGAATATAGAATGTGTTAGTTTTGTTTTTAATATTAAAATAAATAAAACTAATTTTTTGAATATTTTTGATGGTCAATGCCGGTCAACGCTGGATTTCAACGATTGGTGTACCGGAATAAGATGTTCGTGATGTTGACTACATGTCGTTATATAGTTGGTATATGTGGGCATGCAATACATCTAGTTCGTGTAGTTGGTTATACATTTCTAAACTTGGCATGTGTACCCATGTATTCCGTTATACTTCGTGTAGCTGAATATCTTTTTTCCTTATCTTTACTACTACACATGACAGTAAAATTGTGAACATTGACTTTTCAAACACTGCATTGTTCAGAATCTGTCAATGAAAGCTTGAGAAAACGTCCGATTTTATTTTAGTCCATTAGCATTCATTCGTCAAACTTTTTCCAATTTTAATCTCGGTAAGCTTTAATTATATACACATACTCTTACAAACTCTTCTAGGAAATTTTAAATATTAGTAAGAAGATATGAGTTTCTAATTATTTGGTACAAATGATGTGATATGTATATACAGAGCCGTAGCTGGATAGAAGCAAGAGAAGCGGGAGCTGTGGCCCTCCGAGAAGTTATTAATATTTTCGGCCCTCAAATACCAATGTGTTTTGGTAGCCTAGTGGTATTATGTCATACACCACATATCTTAGGTCATGAGTTCAAATCACCTGAAGCGTGAGAGAAGGTTTTTTTTTGTTTTTTGTTTTTTTTTTATGGTTAAATTTTTTTATAAGTATACACTTTTCTAGAGCGGCCTTTTTTTTTTTTTTCGCGGGCGGCGCTCATAATCGTTGCTACGGCTCTGTGTATATAGATATGTACCGAGTCAATTTATGAGGAAGAGGGTGAACATTGAGAGTATTAGGAGGCAAGAAGCGGGGATGTGTGATACGATTGAGAAGAGGAAGCATGCCATGTCGAAAAAGATTATGTAAAACGGGACAATCCAACGATCTTAGTTAAGACCCACTTCACAATTCAATGAAGCTACATACAAAAAAGGGTTTGATTGTTGGAAAAGAAAAGGAACCACAGAGTAGGGATCTTTTTGTGTATTTTAGGGTTACTTGGCCTTGAGTTCTCTGTATAGAACCCAATTAGAAGCAATGATAAAGTCACTTGGTAACACATATTTTAACTAACAACCCAATCATCTTGCAGCCAACGAATCAAGAAGCAGATTTTTGTGTATTCATAAATAGCTCAAATAATGCCAATTCTTGATCATTTTGGTAGATGAACCAAGAAATAAATGGAAAGGTTGTGATTATTTTGGCTACAGATGAAAGTTATATAGAATCACAACTGTTCAACAAGGTTCGCTCGCATTACAAACCAAATATATTATTACATAGCAGGCTGTGGAACGACATTAGGTATAATAGTGGAATACAAAGTTCCTTTGATCTGACTGTTAGACTTTCAATACAACAAACATGAAGAAAGCAAACTTCTTACAGGTTCCTGAGTTAGGTGTCAGGAGCTGTGACTCTAAAGAATACAAGTTAAAAAGAAAGTTGGGTTCGAGGAACTGGAGTGCACTTAAGCGGATGAACCATGGTAAGGGTCAGTCCTTCAAAAGTCTCTTCCATGTTGACCTTATCTCCTTTGATTCCCCAGTCAAAGCACTGCACCATCACTCCAATCGCGGTTCCTATGAAAATAGAAGCTAGATTTGATCCAGGACAGCCTCTCCTTCCGCCGCCGAAAGGAATGTACTTCTGAGCTTCCTCCCTCTCGTCTTCTTGTCCTAATCTTGAAGAACCTAGAAACCTCTCCGGCTTAAACTCATTAGGATCTTCCCAGGAATCAGGATCTCTCATCCAAGCATAAGCATTAATAACAAGAAATGTCTTCTCCGGAATGTAGAATCCTTGGATCTCACACCTTTCTTCGAACTTCCTCGTCAGCAGAGGAAATGGTGGGTGCAATCTTAGTCCTTCCTTAACCACCGCTTGCAAATAAGGAAGGTTTGGTATATCTGTTTCTTGAATCAACCTTGATGTCCCTACAACCGAATCGATTTCTTCTCTCAGCCTCTCAAGAACGTCAGGCTTATTAATGATCTCGGCCATTGTCCATTGTGTTGTTTGCACCGAGGTATCAGTGCCTCCCACGAAAAGCTCCTGCATTGAAAAAACTCGGAACATTTATAAGTAATTTTTGTTCGGATCCTCCTCATATGAAATCTGACATAATGAGGAACATTTACCACGAAAAACGATTTGATATGATTCCTAGTGATCTTATACTCTGCGTTTTCGTCTGCATAAGCTGCCAACAACACGTCCATCATATCCATATCTTTATGCTCCTCGTCCATTTTCTCTTTGTGTTCCACAAGAATCTTCTCTAGCAGCTCATCGAATCTGTTGGAAACATCCATTATATCCTTCTTGAATAGTGGGATCCCGAGCTTCTTAAGTGGTCTGCGCAGTACAGATGCGAAGAAGATTTTCTTCGCCAAGGCATATGATTCACCCACCAAGCCCCTGACTCTCTCTGCCTCACCATTCTCCTCTGAGAAACTCCTTCCCATGCTCATCCTGCACAAGATGTTGTTCATGAGCATCGTCGCTTCCTTACCTATCTCAACGTTCTCATTCTTCCTCGCCTTATCAAGAATTCTGTTGTAAAACTGTTGTAGCTCTTCAGCACGAAGACTTCGTGACCGTTCCAACACCTGAGGTCGTAGCAGCTTAGTGGCGATGATCTTCTTCACAAACTTCAAGTAATCTCCATAGGGAGCGTAGACGACACCAGAAGATCCAAACACGAGGGACTCATCTATCGCAGCAGCACCACGAGAGGAGACGTTCACGTCGTGGGCCCTGAAGACTTCGTCAGCCACTGAGGCCGACGAAACAAGGATGATGGGGACATTAAAGATCCGGAGATGAAGGAGGGGTCCATACTTAGAGGAGATTTTCTGTAAAGACTTGTGGGATAGAGAAGAGAGGAGAAGGTGAAGATGACCAATGATCGGAAGAGACGGAGGGCTCGGAGGCAGAGGCAGATCACGGCGTCGTAAGTCCTTTGGTTTCTTGAAGAAGAGAGAGTAACAGAGGAGAGAAAAGATGCATAGGAGGATGAAGATGAAACAATTCTGAAAGTCAACGCTGATAATTGCTGCCATTGTTGCTCCAAAGTGAAGAACTAGATGAAACATAATCAAGAATCCATTAATATAAAGTAAGACCACTTCATGCTTTGTTTATTACTTAAAAAATGCTTTCTCTTTGGAAAAACATCAAGTATAAACTCAAATCAAATTTATGATATCGATAATTAAAAATTTAGAATTTATATCCTTCCAAGCTGTCAAATATGTTGATTAAAAGAAGAAAAAGCAAGCTAACATCTCCAAATCAAGAACTGGGAATATGCAGACTTGAAGGTAAAGGGTTTAGAGTTCGAGGAATAGGAGTGCACATAAGAGGCTGAGCCATGGTCAACACGATTGTTCCAGCAGCCTCGTTCATGTTTACTTTCTCTCCTTTGATTCTCCAATCAAAGCACTGCACCATTACTCCAATTGCGGTTCCTACAGAGACATAAGCTAGCTTGGATCCAGGACAGCCTCTCCTTCCGGCTGAGAAAGGAATGTATTTTAGGACTTCCTCTCGTATCTCGTCCTTTTGCCCTGATCTTGAAGATGCCATAAACCTCTCAGGTTTAAACTCCTCAGGATCTTCCCAAAACTCAGGATCTCTCATTATAGCATAAGCATTAATAACAAGTAATGTCTTCTCTGGTATGTAGAACCCTTTGAGTTCACACTTTTCTTCGAACATTCTTACCAAGAGAGCACCGGACGGATGCAATCTTAACCCTTCTTTGACTACCGCTTGCAAGTATGGGAGGTTCGGTAGATCAGTTTCTTGAATTAACCTTGTTTTCCCTACAACCGATTTGATTTCTTCTCTCAATCTCTCAAGAATGTTGGGGTTGTTAATGAGCTCCCCCATTGTCCACTGTGTTGCTTGCGCCGAGGTGTCAGTGCCTGCAACGAGAAGATCCTGTAGTAGCAAACTGTTATTAGAATATTTCTATATTTCCTATATCTAAGAGTATCGGGTTTTTCGGGCCTATATAAAAGTGTCTTAGGCTTGTTGTATCTTATTACTCACACTTAATCCAAAGGTTTATTCCACGATTTCACAACACATGTTTCTTAGTAAGGGCAAAGCAATGGTGTTCGCTTACGAATCTACCTAAAAGGGAAGAACATTTACCACCAACAAGGACTTGATATTGTTTCTTGTGATTTTATACTCTGCATTGTCGTCTCCATAAGCTTCCAACAACAAATCCATCATGTCATTAGCTTGATAATGCTCCTCCATTTTCTCTTCGTGTTCAACAAGAATCTTCTCCAGCAGCTCGTCGAACTTGCGGGAAACACTTATCATATCCTTTTGGAACAGTGAGATCCCGAGCTTCTTAAGCGGTTTGTTAAAGATCATACCCAAGAAGATTTGCTTTGTCAAGGCCACCGACTCGATCACCAAGCCTCTGAATCTCTCCGCCTCACCGTTCTCCTCAGAACAAATCCTCCCCATGATCATCTTGCAGATGATATTGTTATTGAGCTTCGCTGCTTCCACACAGATATCAACACTCTCCTTCTTCATCGCCTTGTCAAGCAGATTTTTGTAAAACCGATCTAGCTCATCTGAACGGATTTTCCGTGAATGCTCGAGTGCCTGCGGTCCAAGAAGCTTTGTGACCAGGAGCTTCCTCATAAATTTCCAGTAATCTCCATAGGGAGCCGCAGCGAAGCTTGACGATCCGAACCAGAGAGACTCCTCGACTGGAGGGTGACCGCGAGAGGAGACATTCACATCTTGGGCTCTGAAGATCTCGTAGGCCACTGAGGCCGAAGAGGCGAGGATTATGGGAAAGTGGAAGACTCGGAGATGGAGAAGAGGTCCATACTTGGAAGAGATTTTTTGAAAAGACTTGTGAACTAGATACGAGAGAATAAGGTGAAGATGACCAATTACCGGAAAAGAAGGAGGGCTCGGAGGAAGATGAAAACCAGCTCGTGAGTCCTTTGGTTTCCTGAAGAAGAGAGAGTAACAAAGGAGAGATAAGAGACATAATAGGATGAAGATGAAGCTGTTTTGAAAGTCAACGGTGATCATTGCTGCTATTGTTGCTGAAAGTACAGAGGCAAATGAAACATAGTAATCTTTTATCAAGAATCCATACTTTGTTTATCACCTTACTATATAATATGTTATCCCTTAAAAGAGCCTGATATAAGTAGATCTGAAATCTTTTCTTAATATATAAGTAGTAGATCTGAAGTTCTTTATGACAGTCACTGGGAAAACTTAATAGTAGTTATTTAATAACTCGTTAAGCGTGTTCATTGCCCAAGGTGACAAATATATAATACTTCTATCAGTAGGCCTTTAATTCGGCCGGAATCTTGTAAAATCCAATATAGACATGTGCATGTGAAATATTTAGGGTAATGACCAAATGTAACCTAAGATGCAGGCAACATCTATGGAGATTTTGTCACTATAACATATTCTACAATGTAACCAAAAGCAAAAGATGCATACCAGTTCTAAACAGCTTCTTCGTCTTTACGGGAGGAGACTCTGAATCATCTTGATCTCTAGAATCTTGTGTACGCCTTTTGGAAAAGAAATGAGTGCCAAAGTTACTACAATGTCAGATTATAAACTTATAACCATCAAATCCGCTAAAAATAAGGTTCACAAAGATTCTAAATAATATTGTAGCACATAATTTTTAATCCGTAAGATCAGGATCCAAGACAGACCTTCATAGTCTTTGTTTAGTGACTCGGAACTGTTATCAGGAACAACAGCAAGAACACCAGGTACACCTGCATGAATTAAACAACAACTCTTCATCTGTTAGCTTCTGATTTCCCAAATCCCCATATCCTCATAGAAGTTTGTTTTCTTCTTTTCTGTTCATCTTCTTCAAGGACGTTCAATTATATTTGTTTTCTTTATGTTATGTTTGTGTTCCACAAGAATCTTCTCTAGCAGCTCATTGAATCTGTTGGAAACATCCATTATATCCTTCTTGAATAGTGGGATGCAAAGCTCCTTAAGCGATTTGCACAGTATAGATGCGAAGAAAATCTTCTTCGCCAAGGCATATGATTCACCCACCAAGCCCCTGACTCTATCTGCCTCACCATTCTCCGATGAGAAACTCCTTCCCATGCACAAGATGTTGTTCATGAGCATCATCGCTTCCTTACTGATCTCAACATTCTCATTTTTCCTCGCCTTATCAAGAATTCTGTCGTAAAACCGTTGTAGCTCTTCAGCACGAACACCTCGTGACAGCTCCAGCACCTGAGGTCGGAGCAGCTTAGTGGCGATGATCTTCTTCACAATTCTGAAAGTCAACGATGATCATTGTTGCTCTAAAAGTGAAGAAGCAGATGAAACATAATAGAGAAGCCATTTCTTGATGTAAAGTATGACCAACCATACAGCTATGTTTATTAATTTTTTAAAAAATGCTTGACGGTAAAACAGAACTGGTTGACGGTAAATGATCTAACACTCATATCCCCATGGTTGTATCACTCGATTCTAAAACCCCAAACTTGGTTGACTTCTGTTATGCCTGAACGGTTTGGTCTTGGCTACATCTACTACTATCATCCACCCATTAATAATCTGCGTAGAGAAAAAAACAATATAACATCTGTGAATCAAGGGTGTCTCTCCATCTCTCTCTATCACATTCATGTTGAGATTTGACTTTTGAGTTGTTAACAAGAAGAAAAGAAAAAAACGCTTTAGGATCTCGAAAAGCTAGCTTTACCTTTCCATTCATCTCTTTTAGTGCAATGCCTGCAGCTTCCTCTGTCGTGTACTCTAGAAAGGCATAGCCTTTTGATCTCTTTGATATCTTGTCCATAATTATTTTGACTGCAGAGGAATGTTATAGGGCTGTGATTATCTATCTTTTCCCAATGATTAATTTTTGACTCTTGTATTGGATTGCAAATCATAAGTACCTTCCACTAGTTCACCAAACCCTTCAAATGCTGCGCGTAATGTCTTCTCAGATGTGTAGAAAGACAGTCCTAAACCAAGATACATGATCTATAAGTAAATGTTTATCTTCTGAATGAACTTAATTCTTAAATTAAGATGCAGGCAATGAATTGGGGTCTTAAAATGCTATGAAGATTGTGTCACTATAACAGATTATGCTATGTGACCAAAAGATGCATACAATCTCAAGTGTTAACATACCAGTTATAAACAGCTTCTTCGTCTTTACAGGAGGAGACACTGAATCATCTTGATCTCTTGAATCTTGCGTACTATCGCCTTTTTTAAAAAAGAAAGAGAGCCAAAGTTACTACAATGTCAGCATCATACACTGATAACTATCAAATCCGCTAAAAGTAGGGTTTACAAAGATTCTAAATAATATTGTAGCACATTGTTTCAATCCGAAGATCAGTATCCAAGACAGACCTTCATAGTCTTTGTTGAGTGACTCGAAACTGTTATCAGGAACAACCGCAAGAACACCAGGTACACCTGCACCAATTAAACACCCTCTCTTCATCTATTAGTTTAATTCAGAACAAGTCAACAATCATTGTTGTCTGATTTCCATTTGACAAACTCACAAACCAGCTAACTCCACGGCACTGTTCTCATCGAGATCACAACAAAACCCGAAATCGGACTGCCAGGAAACATGATAAAGACACATCTGTGCATCCTTTTCACTGCAAAGAAAAAGGCAAAAAAATGCTGGTCAAAGCTGAAGGAGACAATAGCTTCCCTTAATGCATAATCAAACAAGAAACTTACTTGCACAAAACCTTGGACAGCAATTGAACACAATGATCAAGCATCTGTGCTTTAGTAACAATCCCAACTCCTGGCTTATCTACTCGAACCATCCAATGTTTCACTGTCCCATCATCAAACAAGGAAACAATTTTCTGGCTCCCAATGCCATAAATCTTCTTCTCTGAACTGTAACCCGCTTCAGGTCTAACAGACACTACTCCAGGTAAACCTACGTTCGTAGACAACCAATTAAAACACCTAAGTGACCATCCATACGAAACAGAATCTGTTCTTTCAATGGCATTAAGCTAACATATAATACCACTACTCACTAGCGAGCTTGTGTGAAGCATCTTCGTCGATATGACAACAAAATCCGAAATGGGTATCAAAGGAAGCATCATATATACTCATCTGCGCATCTTTTTCGCTGCAAACAACATAAGCATTGGAAACTAAGAAATCAAAAAGTTTAAGCGCAAGGCTCAAATTAAACAAACAGAGAATGAAAAAGAACCCACTTGCCCAGTACTTTCGCAAGAATCTCGACATAATAATCAACGATGTCTGATTTGGAAGAAACCCATTGCGGAAGTTTATCCAATAACACCATCCAATAGCTGCTTCGGGTAGGAGCAGTAGAAGAAGGTGGAGCGGAAATTGCAGAAGAGGAGAAGACGAGGTGTGATGATGACAAGGAGGTGGTATAACTTTTCCGAAAAGTCCCAAAATTTAAGTTGGGAGAAGAAAATGAAGGGAGGAATCGGTTATTGATAATGTGTGAGAAAGAGTTGGAGATGGGGAAAGAGTTGGAGGTGGGGACTAAGAAGGAAGTGGAAGCAATAAGAGCTTCCATGGCAACTCTTTTTTTGCTTGTTTTTTTTCCTCTGCTCTCTTTTTTTCTCTGTTATTCTCCGCTCTGGTACAAAATGTAAAATCCCAGGGCTTTTTGGGAATTTGGAGTGGATAAGTCAAAAGGCTAAGCATATCAAAAAGTATGGGCCGTTAAAAGGCCTTTAATTTGGACATGAATTGGCCCGTTGAAAGGTAAAATTCTAATCAAGTGAAAGCTGAGCATTTTTTTTTTTTTTGGTCGGCAGTGAAAGCTGAGCATTTAATAAGTTTAAATTACCAAATCGGTTTCTCGCTTTTAATCATGACTTACACATTTTCTTTTCCGTCTATTATATCATCACTAGATCATATTCTATAACAAATTAAGTTTTCTATTGTAGCACTTTAGTTTAGAATTTAAGTGATTGTATACCATATATGAATATGAGGTTCGATTCATAAAATATAAATTTCGCATATTAACGAAGATAAGCTTACCGAAAATATCTAGCATAGTGCATATAGAGTTGATCGTTATAGTTCGTCAGTTAAAAAAAAAAAAATTAAATCGTGAGCGTAGTATAAATAAAACCGTCAATCGTAAAATTTTGTGGTGCAAATTAATTATAAATAAGTCTATAAAATCGTTCACTATAAAAAAATGCATAAGTTAAATTTTATAATCATAAAAATTAAATTATCATTTGTAATGAAAACAAAAATCGAAAATATTTTAAAATGACAATCTAAGGTCTAATTTTCTTTAGATTAAAAGGTCTAATTTGTTGATTTTTTTAGTCATGAAGATCCTTTAAAATGTGAAGTTATGGAATTCTTTATAAGGTAAATCTATAAATGTTAGTCAAACATCAATCTTAAAATGTGAAAAAATGAAATTTTAATAATGTTAGTCTATCCTTATTTTAATAACTTTTGGTAATAAATCTAAGTAAGTTAACCGGAGATTGTGGTAATCCATCTCTAATATAAACCGGGTTTACAATCTGAATTCTACGGGTTTACCAGAATTTTTTTTTGTTATAACAAAACAAAAAACATTGGATCTGTAAAAGAAAAATCGAAAAAAAAAACTCTCCGACTCGGAAGAAGAGGGAGAGAGATGAAGAAGCCGGTCGGAGCCGAGAAGAAGAGGGTTAAACGATCATCGGGATCTGCATCTACCTCCGTTAGAGATTCTGGTTCTGATGCTCAACCTAGGGTTTGCTCTCCTCTCTCATTTCTCTCTAATCTCTTTTATAAAATTTTGTTCTTAGGTTACGTTTCCTTTTGTTTGATCTGGTTTGGTCTCTGATGGAGTATTTGACCTGCGATTGCATGATTTGCAGGCCTTTTTCATAGTTATTTTTTGCTAAATTGTATGTGAATGCTCATAAATGTGTGTGAACACAAGTTTTCTTTTGGATTTTTGAGCACATTTTACTGTTTTGGTTGTGTGAATTATAATCTCTGGAATGTTAATTGAATCACTTGTGTGGCGAGAATTTGATTTATTTGGCCTTGGTAATGTTAAATGATGATCCTTTTGATATTTGCATTTAGTTGTCCAAATGCTTATTCTTATTTTTACTTTACTAGAAGCAAGCTGTGAAGAAGGATAGTTTTCAGTTGTTTGCTGAGAAAGTTAGAGACCACAAGGGATTAGAATCTAGATGGGCTGTTATGGAGCAAGCACGAGTCGAATATTTCAGAGGGAAAGATTTTGTGAGCTTCATGAAGAATAATCCAGAGTTTAAAGAGATTCTGGAAGAAGATAAAGACCTTGATACAGATGATATTGCCAATGTTTTGTTGGGAAAGAACCTTTTGGTTCGCTGTGATCGTGTTACAAAAACTCTCCGTCCCGGGAAGAAAAAGCTCTCTACTTGGCCAGCTCATTTGGAGATTTTCCGTGTAAGTTGAAGTTAGTTTCTTAGAGAAAATTGCTATTGAACTTGTTGTCTTGTCATATTTCTAAACATAGTTTTCCGCATACTACACAATTAACTCAACACTTTCACCATCATTCTCTTTGGTTCCTGTTTTGTTTTATTTTGAGTAAGATATGCACTCATTAGTGCAAGTATATCAGGGCTTGGATTTCATTTTTCTCCTTTTTAATGCAGGATGATCAATCTTTCTCTGAAAATGATGCCTTTTTTGCATGGACGTTCGAAAAACGGCATCCGCTATGGCAAACACTTTTGTCCTTCTTCTGGCCTGTATTGACTCTTGCAATTTGTTTGTTTCCTGTGTACCCACACCGTTGCAAACTAATTGTACTCTACTCATGCGCGGGCATTCTTTTGATGATTCTCTCCTTGCTTTTCGGTAAGCTCTACACATATAATCTGTTTGATATGTTTTTCTTGTGTAATTGCACCTTCAAAAGTCACTTTCTTGGGAGTGTTATTGGTTCTACATCTAATTTTCTTTTACAATTGAGAATTGTAAGAATAACAAATTACCACTATGCAATGATTTACTAGCTATAGCTACTTAATTGAACGGGGTCATATAGTTATAACTTGGCTTATACTGAGATTAGTCCTTCTTGATTACCTCTTGCAGTGAGAGCAGTTGCTTTCGGTGCTATGTGGATTCTTTTGGGAAAGCGTGTCTGGTTCTTCCCCAACATTCTAGCCGAGGAAGCCACATTGAAGGAACTGTTCCGTTTCTGGCCAAAGAAAGACGAGGAAGAACCGCCCAAGTGGACATCTCGACTTTTCTACACAGTAGTGGCTATTGTTGTTGTCATGCTGCTTAGGCGCCATGCCCCTGATGAAGCTGCTCGGGCCAGGTATACACTCCTTTCTCATCCACCTTTAAATATCGCTTAAACCGCTTTAAACGAAAACTGTTTTGCTGCCTAGTAGAATCATATCTAATCGCTTCAGGTTTGAGTTTTGGATTTGGTTGCAGTAGAGGTTGAATTGTGCTGAGTTTTGTTCATACAGGTACCAAAGAAGGATGTCCAACATCATTGATGATGTCCTTGAGTGGTCACCAAAGCTAGCACTTTCTGGTTTAATGGAGAATCAGCAACCTGTGAACATCACAGATGCGGCAAACAACTCCTCAGATTCAGCAGGTTCCGACCAGACTGAAGAGGTCGACCTAGACGAAACAAAAGGCGAGGACCTAGACGAAACTCAAGGCGAGGAAGAAGCTGAAGGTTGGACTGACTCTGATCTAAAAACATAAAAAACAAAATATAGAAACGAAAGTTCATTGTAACAATAAGTCAGGTTAAGTGACCAAGACGAGGTGAGTTCTTATAAGAAAGTCTTGAAAGATTTTGTGGTTATCCATTACTCTTTTTCATTTTGACACAATCTGGAATTTAGCTCTAAATCACAGTTTTGTATTCGAAACTTAAAGTCTCAGACAAAAGCTCTATCACTTGCTAAGAATTGTTTACTTAAGAGAGAGTTGACAAAGAAAAGCGGCAACATTTGAAGTATTCCAAACTGAAGAAAAAAAAGGCACACAAAACTACAAAAAGTATTTGTACAAAATAAGAAGAAAAAGAAACGAGAGAAAAAAACTCTTCCATGGCTGCTACCAAATAAGCCAACAAAGAGAAAGCCAAGAATGAATTGCCGCCTTGTGAGGTCATTTAATGGCTAGACGAGCTTGAGAAGGATGGTTTGAGGAAAGGCTGTTCCATTGCTGCCCTGAACACTCTCCTTCTTCCCTTCTCTTATAAGCTGAGCTCTGCAACTCATCGCCCTGAGGTGTTCTATATTCAACATTCCAAGCTTCACCTTGATCAGAATTAGAAGACGTCGGGGACTGGGTAACACGACCATTGCTCTTCTCTTCAGCTTTACGCTGTGAAGCTTCGGTGTTTGTTTTCTTTGCAAACCGTCCTCCAGTACCCCTTGGCCTCCTCATAGCATGTTGATGCCGAGATTCATGGAGATAAGGCTGTGGAGCATGCAAACAAAGAAAAAGATGCATTAAGCAGTGTGATGCGTTCGCATTTAGATCAGAGCTCTCAAGAAACTAATAATATCCATGGTAACACGCAATTCACCTTTCTGGATTTTATTAGCTTCTTCTCTAGCTCTGCCTTGGCGCGTGCCTGCCTTCGCCTCAGAATCGCCTGGTACTGTTTAGCATTCACGAAAACTGGTTCTTGTGCCATCTCAGGAGGCAGTGGCATTCTTGAATGAGGCATCCCACCATATGGAACAAAACCCTGATAGGGAAAGTGTTATTTATCAGAGAGTCACATGGAAGTTAAATAGATAAGAAGAGCCATAGAACCCTGTCGTTAACTAAATGCATCTTCTCAATATCTCCAATAAGCTGCTTTAAATCATAATTCATATATATAAAAGGAACACTGTAAGGCAACTATATTCATGCTAGACTTCAAAACACCTACAGCTAATAGAATATTTAAACCTGCATATCATGCTTTACAACCCAATAGCAGTCATGAATCATGGCATCCAAACATGTCACATGGTTATATCGTCTTAACAGAGAAAATTAGTAGAGGCATTAGGAAAGCTTATAAATAGTTTGGAAATGAAGTCATATATACCAAGGGATGATGTCCATAGGCTCCCATCACTCCTGCATAATATGGATCCTGGTATGGATTGGAGGATGCCCATCCCTGCATGATTCATAACCGAAAAAGGAGAACTTGTAAGCAACCATAAGAATTGATATTTATCAGCTAGATCAAAAATATATTGGGAAGTTACAACTGTGTGGCCAACAAGTTGAGGGTTAGGAGGTTGTGTGATGGCAGGATGCAGAGATTCTTGATTTTTATCACTTCCAGCTGCATATCAAAATAAACCAACAACACTTGGTTAGAAGAATTGCAAACACCTATAAGAAAATCCGCAAAGTGTAGCACCAAGAGAACAAATCAATGCACCTGATTGAGGAGACGTTGTGACTTGTGATTCTTTATTAACATTATCATCTCTATTTGATGGTGACTTCGAGCCATTTGATACCAATGCTAATGCTATTGACTTAGAAGATTTATCTCCAGCTTCCACACAAGAATTTGCATTGCAAGCAGCAGCAGCACGATGCCAAGGGTTTAAACTATTTATAGACGATGATAATGTACCATGAACCTCTGAATCAATCTTGTTCCCATTGTCAGATTTTGAATGCATGTCTTCAATTCCCTATTCAAAATCCGTTTGTTAATGATGAATCACAACTACATAATCCAATTCTATCGAACCAAGACCAAAAATATCCAAAACAGAACAACAAAAATTCAATACGATTCAGCAATTTTGACTCTTAATACTCCACGAAACGATTCAGTAACAAAAAACAAACAAAACCCAGAAACGTAAGAAGACAGAATTCAACAAAATCGGACTAAAATTCGAAACTTTGAAAGAATTGAGAGATGGGAATAAGAGAACAAAACAACAAAACCCTAGAACAAAGGTATAAGCAGCTTCATGCAATCAACAACGATTTGAAATTTCGAGATACCATTCAATCGGAGACAGTCTTGGAGGTGTCCACGGTGATTGAAGGAGACGCTTCCGCTTGGAAGATGAACGATCTGAGGAAGATTTTTCAGTCAGAGGAAGAAAAAAAAACAATTTTTATGGAATTGAATTTTATTATATATTTTTTGTTGTATTTGATCGTCGTATGAAGTACTGTATTAACTTTTGTTCCGTTTTGAATCTTGGCTGCCACGTGCTGTCCACGTGAACGGCGGCAACACAAAACTTTTTAACTTATTTTTATGGTTAGATATTAAAAATTCGAGTATTGAGTAATTAATTTACCTGGGCCTGTAATGGGCATAAAGCTTGTATCTTACAAAGGCCCAACATCTTAACTTTTTCTTTTTTTGATAAACTTCCCTTCAACATATTAATTTTGTGTTATATATTTTATTTTCAGCTCTTTAGTATTTGCCTGATTGGTATTTGGTAGTTGAAGAAATGAAAAAGACTGTAAGAAACAAAATAGATAAGCAGAGTAAGTAACAAAATATAATGTCATTACAAAAGAATAGAACAATTTTTAAAAATTCATTTAAATGTCTAATTATTTCAACATAAAGCAAAATTTTATAAACTTATGTGATTGATAACTTTTTTATAGGATTGAGATACTATTGTACGGGTTAATCAATTAAAATCACAATCATAGTGTGTTTTTTTGTTCTTTCTGTCAAATCTTTCTTATCCATTTTTTGTTTTTTCTGTCAAAAATGTTAGTCTTTTCTTAAACAAATCAATTAGCTTTAAAAATTTGATTTTTTTGGGCATATTGGCTTATAATTCCTTGTTTACTGGATGGAGTTTTTTTCTTTGTATCTTAGCAAAAAAAAAAGTTTTGTTTTGTATATGTCTTTTATAATATTTAAATAAATAAAGTAATTCAAGGACACTTTTGATTATTTTGACTCTTGTATGGATTTGTATTCAAGTAGAACGTAAATTAGTGTGGAATAATCTTTTCATTTTGAAAAAGAATAATCATCTCTGTATTATCGATGATGTGATAAAGATGTGTTTTTAGCTTTTTGTGAAGGAAAATTATAGAAGAAGAAAATAAAGAGAGAGAGAAAATGATGAGAAAGCCGCACGAGTAGGTTCATTGGATTCCCTTGGCGGATGTTATCCTCTGCCTCGACACTGCGGCCATCCCCACTAACTCTTCTTCACATATTTCTCGTCTCTTTCCTTTCACTAATTTTATAACATTATCTACAAATTTCTTGTTAGTGAACACTAATTGAAATGTTTGAAGTTAAAAGAAGTGGAACAAAAAGATGAAGTAATTAAGGAAGAAAGTGAACAAAAACAATTCTACTAAACTTTGAAATATTATGTATAAAGCTATAAAAAAACTTAAGTTAACATATTTGGAATTATAATTTCCTTTTAGAAAAATTGACCTAATCAAACTTGGTGGGATTTGATTATCAACGCCCATTAACATACACACACCATTAAAAAAGGGCATATCAGAAACTACTTTTTCTTATTTTTTTAGTGATAGAGGGAAGGTATTTATTGGGTAGATGATTTAATTAGAAATGTGTGCATACATATGATATAAAATTTATTTTTATATTATAAAGTTGCTCAAGATTGACTTAGTAAACTTAATTTATGCTCGTTTCTATGCGGTGTTAATGTTATTGGACCTAAACTCAGTGCGAAGTTCCACGTAAAAGGTGACTGTTTCTCAATCAAATAATATTTGTATAATCTGTTAGTTTTACTTTTAAAAGTTGTATATTTGTCTAAGATCATCAAGAACTTCCTAATTAAAGACGACTAACTAAGATATATAACTTCAGCTTACCTAAATTTTACTGTCAATTGAACAAACGATCAAAACAAATGACCAAACTAGCGAGGAAGAACAACACATTAGGGGAACAAAAAACTCAATCCACATCAAAATTACAAAAACTGACAAAGCTAAGAGGCCAGAAATTAAAGGCAGTAGCAACCTAACACATAGCACTTGGAAAAAAAGTGAAGCAATAAAAGTATAAAATAATAAAAGGGTGGGTTATCAATTATAGTTTAAATCATAGTTGATTTTTGATATACCCTACCACAAAACTCAAACCGACTTAATTCAAATTATCCCAAAAAAACAAGCGCCAAAATAATGAAAAGAAAACAAACCAAAATAATAATAAAAACATCACACGAAACATAATAATTTACTCTTCGTTATTGTATTAACAAATCAAAGAGATGAATTTTGATCACCTGCTAATACTACTATCTGTATCGATTCTAGCTATATCTAAAAAAGAAGCTAATAATTAACTAAAAGTACGTTCATCGATCGTGTGCGTTGACGAAGAAGAGCTCTATCTCCGGAGGAGCAAAGAAAACGATCTGTCTCCGCCGTAAAACACAGTTCTTTGTGACCCTTTGCTTCTTCGGCGCCGGTGGACACGTCAGCATCTCCGGTATCCTAGACTTCTTAGCTTTTGGAGTACAACAACCGCCGCCGCCACCGCCTGGTGACGTCAGCGCCGCTGGGGAGGGAGTGGGAGCAGAGTAGATTGTGTCTTGAGGAGAAGACAAAGTCGTTGAAGAAGAACATGTCGAGACAATACTAGATGTAGATGTTTGATCGAGAGTTGTACTTGTGTTGGTGCTGTTGTGTTGTGGAACTTGTTTCTTGAAATAGCTCCTTGTGAGTTTTGTTTCAGGTCGGTTTGGTTTTCTTGCTTTTTTTGATGCCATCTTTAAACCTAATAATCAAAAGAGATTTCTTCAGAGAAAAAAAAGAAAGTAAGATGGTTATTTCTTTGCGAGGTTAGGTGAGAGAGAAAGAGAGCAGAAAAAGAAGAAGACGAGAGTCGTTGGTTATTGGTTAAGTTGGAATATATACTATATAGTATGCGATATACGAGTCAAAACATTAGTGGAGTGTCACTTTAAAGTTTCTAAATTTTGACTACCAAAAGTTTTCACTGAGTCGAACAGAAAAAAAAAAAAAAAAAGTGATAGACTGATCTATAAAAAGGTAAAAAGAAAACTCTTTTTAAGGATCAATATTAATGCATGTAACTATATAACTCTGACCACAGAATGGGTACTATATATATTTATTTGCCGTTTTTAAAGACTAAAAGCAGAAGCATTAACAAGAATAGAGGAACCAGAGTGGTATATCAAAGAAAGATATGTACCAATGGATCCAAGATATAATGAAAATTTGCTATATATGTATATAATAACAAAAGTTGATTAAGAAAAACATGTGTGATATAACGTTGGTTTACGTTACATTTCAAAATGTTGTGTATTTTATTTTTAAACAACTTGTGCGAAAACATTAGGAAATTCCAATTTAAAATCATTTGGTAGTGTGTAAAGTGAACTATATCACTTATACATTACTATAGACCTAATATCAATGTCGATCTGAGATTCCTATAGGGATACGTTTGTTCGAGATAATTAACGATTGTTTTGGTTATTCGAATCAAATTTCACTATAAAATCAATAATATATCCTATTCACAAATCACACTACCATGATTCTAATACTATATTAAGAAAAAAACATATGTTTTTAATGCAAATCTAATTGAAAATGAATGTATTGATCTATATCATTTATATAAAGTTGTTAATCTTTTCAGACTTGCAATATATGATCTTAACACCAAGAGAACAGTAATAAACTAGTGAACTACAGAAAACTAAAAAAAAAACATGGATATCTTTGTAAGGTGACATACATGATGTCATAAATTCATGTAAACAGTGGTACTGGTTCACAGAAAAAAACAAGGATATGTTTGGAAGGTAACATAGATGATGTCATAAATTCAGATTAACAGTGGAGCTGGTGCACATACTTGACCCTTTCACAATTCACATGGTGACTGTAACTTTTGGAACTAGTAAAAATATATACATAAATGGTGTCGGACGAGAGAGAGAGAGTCTCTCTCACATTGAGGCCTAAAAAAAGGTTAAATTATTTGGATTTGGATGCACATAGGACCCGACAGCGACAAACCGAGAAAATTGACCTTTTTTTCCCATTTCTCTTTAATTTATTGTTTTTTTTTTCTTTTCTTTTAGTATTAACTACGTTTTCTGCCGTCCAAGTAGTTTTGGCCAGAGACTCTAAGATGCTAATTAATGATCATATAAACCTTTTTTAAAGGTAATTCAATCAAGTGAAAGAATAATCATACAGAATTAAGAATATCTATTGATTCAAAATTTGAAGAGTAAAATACAAAAGAGAGAGTACTACATTACACTGCATAAAAATTTGTTAAAAAAAGGATTACCGGAAAAATAAAAAATAAAAAGTTAACACAAACTTTGATGTAAGAAGGAAATCACAACCACATGGTGGTGGGCGAGTGGTTCTCGTTTGGTTGGAAGGATCGCCCTGTTGGTCTAGGCCAGGGATCGATCCTCCCCAGACGCAGTTTCGCTCTCTCACTCCTGTGGCCACCTGGGAATTTACCTGCGGACTTGCTCAGGCGCCCCAGACCACCAGTTTATCAGGGGGCCCTTAAGTGGAGGCTTAAAAATCCCTGTGACGCGGGCTTAGGCCCAGTGGGCTAGTCAGATCACTGTGTGGTCTGGATACTGGGTTATCAAAAAAAGAAGGAAATCACGTGGACTGACATGCAAATTCAATGTAATATAAGTGTATAACTAACTACTTATACGGTTCTATGTACTCTCCCCCAACTAACTCTTTCTCATTTTGGTTGAGGTTTAGTTGTACGATTTTTACTATAAGTATCTATAAATGCCATATATTTTCTTCTTTTTTTGAAGTCTTGAATTTAATATGAAGAATTCAAAAGTTTACAAGCCTTTTTAAAACACAAAAAGTACATATTCATGCGAGATAGGTTATTGTCATGGGATCCTAAAACATAGGATTCACTGTGCAAGTGGCATTCTCATAAGTCTTAGTTTCACACGGGTAAATGAATTTGAAAACAGCATTAGCAATTATAATATTCATACAAATTTTTGATATCAAACTAATCCATGTGTATCATATAATACTGGAGAGATTATTTACAATTATTTTCTATGTTGTTGTCCAACTCTTAAGCAATTTAATTTTTACAAAAATCAGACTCCCACTTCAGATGTGTACAAAGAAGGCAGAATGACAAAGACATGAGATACAGTTTTAAATTGTATAAACCCAAAGTTTCTTCTGCTTGCATAGTAACAATTTCAGAATCGACATAATTAAATACTAACAATTATTCAATGTTTTAGATGTGATAGTAGAAATGAAAAAAGGCAAAGAATCAATACCTAACAAGTAACAACTGTTCAACCATTTGTAGTATACTACTGTCTACTGATAGATATATCATATATGTCCAATGGTTTTGTCCCTACATATAAAAATTTGTCTGAAGCATTGTTAAGAGAATCGATTCAAAACCTCCCACAAAAGATAACAATACAGAGAAATGCTCCATACTGTTTTTGTTTTCTCATCAAACTTAAATATCAATAAGGACAAATTGATTTCTCCAGTTTGTTTACAAATACTACAAAGAGTCCAAAACGATTCATCTATTCAAGGTTTCTGACGACCTTGAGACGGTGACAGTTTAACCACATGTCTCACAGACAAGAGTATCAATCAAGAATTCAAGATTCCTATTCCCACAACTTCAGTGAAGCCTAATGTTACAATCCAACAAGGGTTCTTACGATAACAACGCAAGTGAATCAAAACTGACTCTATTGTTGCAGGTGCATGGAACTTTTGACCAATACAGCACAACAAAATCTAAAGAATGGATAAAACTAGTTCTCTGACCAGATAGTACATCAAAACCCGAACCATCGATGCATCGGAATTGTGATTTTAGGAAAACCATTGAGAAGAGGTATGAAACTACCTTGAGAGATGCTGTATCACCTTCCTCTTGATAGTGCCTCCTCTAACTCTTCAACCGATGAAGGAAACAATTCTATGTAACGGCTCCCAAGCGTCTTCCTATCCTTAACCATTGCAGCTCGTGACTCTTCTGCATTCCTAAACTCCACAAATGCTTCCCCAGTGGGTCTCCCTTCACCATTAACAGTCACATGAACAGAGTCTTCAGACAGCTCGAAATCTTTGAAGAAGTCAAGTATGTCTTCCTTTCCTGCTGAGAACGGTAATCCTCTCAGTCTCAAGGTACCTGTATGTTCAATATCCTCTTTTCCATCATCACTCGATCTAGCCCTCTGCACATGTCTGCGAGGTGAACTTCCACCACTAATTCGACCTCCACCGCCACCACCTCCACCTCCACTACCACCACCTGTACCTCCACCGCCACCTCCACCACCGCCACTAGCCATACCATGGACACGAGATTCCGCAACCTCATTAGCAATAGCCTTATAGTACTCCTGTTTCGTACTCCTAAAAACTTCTACATATCTCCTTCCCATGTTCTGCCTGTTCTTTTGAAGAGCAAAATCAACCTGGAGGGGATAACCCAAAACGCAAAAGGCTTCTCCAGTGACCTTGTTATTCTTGTGAACAAACAAGACATCAACCACATCCAAACCATGAAAAAACTCTACTACATCAATCTCTGCGCAATCAAAGGGTAAACCACGGAGTCGAACCGCAGGAAAAGGAGGAGGTGGAGGAGGAGCAACAAATCCATAAGGGTTATACATAAAGCCAGAACCAGGATGAGGTCCATAAAATGGTCCAGGAGGACCTTGATCAATCATTCTTTGACGCTTAGGTCCCATCTCACGCCCATCAGGACCATCTCCATATCTACATTCACCACATAAATATCACAGCTACAGTTCAACACTTTATTGAATAAACTACCTTAAAGGTCGAAAATTTCCCACAAAAACAAACAATTAAAGGAAATCGCAACAGATTAAACTTCATCAGAGAGTAAATTAAGTAATTCAGGATTGATTCGAACGAACAAAACCCTAATTGCGGGAACTATTGAAATCAAATAATTGGAGAACAAGTCAGGGATAATTCTAGGGCTTACCCTCTGTAGAACATTATCAATTGCGCAGAGTATTAGCAGTGCCTCCTGATTTGGATGATCAAATCGATTGGAACTTTCGAGGAGCTTCTTCTTCTTCTTCTTCTTCTTCTTCTTCTCTGAGCCTTCGAATTCGAAATCGTCGCTTCGAAAAATTTTTGTTGAGAGAGAAAGAGCGTTACAATTAGGAAAAAAAAAAACGGAGAAGGAAAATAAATCGGGCTATTGGGCTTTTAGGCTTGGGCCTTATACATTAAGAAAATCTTGCTGGATCAGCCTTCGTGTTAATGTTAAAGGATATAATTTTAAAACTGAGGAATAAAAACAAAATAGTCGCTTTGGCCGAGTGGTTAAGGCGTGTGCCTGCTAAGTACATGGGGTTTCCCCGCGAGAGTTCGAATCTCTCAGGCGACGTATTCTTTTTTTTTTTTACTTTTTTTCTCAGAATACAATTATTTAAATAATATACTGGCGGTAAACTTAGAAATTGTGAAAAAATCATGTTTTGCCATGCCATTTATAGAAGATGACCTTACACCTTAAACAATGCATGCGAGTCACAATAAATTTGTATAAATATTGGTTAAAGATGGCCATAACCAATATGAAACCATGAAAGAATGTATTCATGATTCACAAATGTGGAAAAAAAATATTCAGAAATATGAAACCGAACATTTGAAGTTAAGATCATATAAATGTGAGATTGTCAGTTACGTTATATACTTCAAGATGAGATTTTCTGTACTAATGATGATTTAGATGCTATCGTCATGAGTCGTGATTGGAATAGTAAACATATAAATATGATAGATAAACGAGTACATTATTTTTCACACAGTTTTCGACCTTTAAAATCATCATCTGTTACACTCAAAAAAAACCAAAAAAAAAAAACCATCATCTCTATATATAGTAGATCACCCAACTATATATCCAAAGGATTTGCCATTATCAATAACTTTTTTGGAAACAAAATCTTGTAACTGTAGAATAATTCATTCAATTACTTTAAAAATCTAATACAAGTATCTTAAATATGTAAATAACATCATGACGAATCCCAAAGCAAAAAGTTTGGAAGAAACAGATATACTGTACGCATACAAACATGCACATACTCCCTCCGTTTTCGAATAGTTGTCGTTTTAGAGCATTTTTTTTGTTTTAAATTAGTTGTCGTTTTAAGGTAATAATGTAACTTATGCCAATAACTACCCAAATTACCCTCATTTAATTAAACACAAATTATTTGTAAATAATTACTTGTCATTTTTATGAGGTTAATATAGTCATTGTATACCTTTTCTTAATTTGTCTAAATACAGTTAAAACGACAACTTTTAAAAAACAGAGGGAGTATATACACACACACGCACACATCCAAAGACTTTAACATTATAGAATAAATAATAACATTTTAAAAAGGAAATTAACACGAAGGTGCATATATAGATAAAAATGTCTGAGAAGAGACAACAAAGTATACATAAAAGACACGCTAGAGAGATTAAAGAACTTACAAAAAAGCTTCAAATACAAAAATCCATCCACACAAACACACACTCGTGCTTGCTCGGGAACATCTCCTGATTAGTTATAATCTAATCTAATACGAACTTAATTAATAGCAAATCAACATGTTCTCTAAATTATTTGACCTTCTGGCCCAATCTTTCCGAGTTCACACATTGCCACCAATGCACTTTCTGATCAAACCCACTAATTTTGACCACCTTGATCTTACAATGTCGCATCTTACTACGACAACATTTTGAAATAATTAACCTTAGTTTGTCTGAAAAATACCAAAAATGTCACAAAAGAAAACGAAAAAGAAAATCTCGATTCTAACTCTAATGAAAAAATAGTTACATGGTCATAGAACTATATTTTTTTAAATAACCAAGTCTTCTAAACCAAAATCAAAGAAAACTTAGAAACCACCGTGATGAGTAAATTAAGAAAGAACATAAACTAGTCGAGAGTGATATAGTAGTATGCACACATATGTCATTTCGACCAATAGGAGTATAGGACAGTACCACTAACTAGGTTAACACAATTTTATTACAAAGAAATATCTTAGTACTAAATATAGCCCGTAGACATACTTAGCTCTATAATTATAATTATATACCACTATTGTATACACTTTTCTTAGAAAATTGGCCATTCACATGTGCAATCAGCATATGGTATACCCGACCTCAACAATGATGAGGCCATCTTATCAATCTAGTGGTTGTAGACTTGTAGTTGTGGGTTTTCTTCCTACGCAAAGTATAACATCTAAAACGATAGCAGAATGTGCAACAGGATCTCTAATTTAATTAGTGAACAATAAGGGTCTTTTATCTTCTTTTAAATAACTCATAATTTATTTAAAAATCCAAAAAACAAAGGCAAATTATCAGGTTTAAAAGATTACTTTCCAAAATATCATCAATTTTTTATGTTAAAATATCACTTTCAGGTGCACTTTACATCGAAGAAAACAGTGTATATATAGAACCAAAAAAAAAGAGTGATCGTATTTTTTGGATAATTGGAAGGAAAAAAATAAATAATGATGATGATAATAAGTTGGATCTTTGAAATACTATTTTGTTTATATAAAAAGCTTATAATGCTCTAAACAAATATTACAGCATGAAGTAAACTAGCGTTAAAAATTAAATGAACATGAAAATTAAGCATATACAACATCAGAATATATACTTAATTTCGTCAATAATTAACATTTTCTTGTAAAAGTTCATTTATTAACTAGTAAGTTATGGAATATATGTCAATTAATTAAATAAAGATTTGGGATTCCCAAGTAATATGTTTCTGAAGCCGAGCCGACATAGAGATGAGGCCACCAACGCAAGTGCTGTCCTGGATCACGACCATCTCTTTTTCCAACGCGATCAATCTCCCCACAAAACCAAAATGTTTATCATCTTGATTCTATGCTTCATCACTCTATCTCTCTCTACATACATTTTGTAATTCACCGTTAGACATTAAAGGAGACAAACTTTTATCCTTGATTGCCGATCTTGTCCATTTATTTGATCCTTTCCATACTATGTTTTGTCTAATGGACTTTCATTTGCCCAGAGATTTAAAGCTGTTCTTGGTATCAAACTCAAACTAATCAAACCAACAACACATATTAACTATACAACATTTAACCTAAACATCTCATAAAGACTATGTAATGTAGTATATATATATATATATCAGTATATCACACAATCTAGTTTTACATATATATAAAGATTAAATCGATTCATACTAATATATTTATCTCCCATTTTTGGACTACCCAGAGGTTTTTAGCCTTCGGCTATCCGTTTGGGCCATGGACCAAAGCATGTCAATTAGTTTATCTCCAATAGCAAAATCTAAACCCGTAACTTTGAGGCACGCTCACTTCAGAAAATCTCCTGGTACACCAATTTACACATGTCCGGTTTCAAACCCCGATCTTCTATATCTACTACACTTTGTGACAATAAAGTTTTAGTAATACTTCAACTGTTTATATGGTTGTTTCATAAAGATTTAGTAATTGACTTTATTTTAGTAAATACATGCGTGCACTTCGAGTCCCAAGATAGCAAGTTTCTTTTTCCCTTCTTCAAACTTTCTCCTTGTTTCTTTTCTACCTACTATCTTCTCCGTACCCTTTTCTATCAATTAACATATGCTACTTTCCACTGCTTTGTCACATCGCACCTTATATATATGCCCACATGTCTTAATACACTCATACACACACCCCCACATATACATGCATATCTACCTTTCACTGGTTTCTTAACACAAAACCCCATCATCTAGAGATAGCTTGCCTTCTTCTTTTTCTTTTTTTTCTCACAGTCTTCTCTCCTCAAAGTTAATGGCTGATCCAGCTTGTATCTTCAAAAATGGATATGTGGACTACTATGACTATAGCTTCAACTATGCCACTTCCCTCTCACGCATCTACAACTCTCATGACAGCTTCTATTATCCTCATGACCATACCACAAACCCGAACATAAACACAAACCCTAATTTTACTTCACCTGACTCGCCTCCACTTAGAGAAGCCCTCCCTCTCCTTAGCTTAAGCCCCATTCATAAGCATCAAGAACCTACTGCTCACCATCATGAGTACTATTTCATGGAGACGACAGAAACTTCTTCTAGTTCAAACTTTCTTGATCATGATCTTGATCAAATCCAAGAAATTACTCATCATCATCATGATGTAACCGTGGATCTCCATTTAGGGTTACCAAACCTCCGTGATGGTGGAAGCAGCACCAGTGATGTAGTCCTTGATTCCACCGACGACCAAGAGCGTCATCATGATCATCGTCAAGATCAAGGAGTAGAAGTTACTCTTGTTTCTGATCATGATGATGATCATGGTGGCTTACAAAGGGGTAATCATCTTCATCACTTTTGGATCCCGACTCCTTCTCAGATTCTGATGGGTCCTACACAGTTCTCTTGTCCTCTATGCTTCAAGACCTTCAACAGATACAATAACATGCAAGTAAGGATACATTAATCCAATAAACCTAACTCTAATAGTCTAATTAGTTGCTATTTTCAATAAAATGATTTTCAAGTTTTGACTTTTTGTTCTTGAAAATGGATCTCAATTCATTTACTGTTCTAATTTTTCTTCTAAATAATAATTCTCGATATATATTTGTTTTCAAATCTTCATCATGATCAGCAAATCCCTAGTACACACTACGACTTTTTCACAATAATTATTATTACTATTATAACTCGAGAATAACTTTTTATTTGATGGTACAAGTCATCAGCTGTACCATGGATTGATGGCTATGAAAAGATCAACTAAAATCAATCAATAGGTTTAAGATCAAGAAGATCTTCTTTAACCAACAGTCTTTTTTCATAGTGACTGTTTCTAACCCTAAAATATGATCAGTCCTCCTTTTCCATTTTTATTGCCTCTCTTGATTTTTGCGCAGTTATACTACACAACACTCATTACCCTAAAAAGTAAAAGAAAAAGAGGATGATAAATGTCTTGCAGATTGTTTCGTACCTCTTCTTCACATCATAACATATATTTTATTCTTAATAAACCTAAACAATCATACAGGTTTAGATCTTTCTTTTTGAAACATCTAGAACCTTTCCATTAACTTGACATCTTCATAATATTTACAACTTACAAGGATCAATAGTATTGAAAAATGAAATTTATATTTACTACAGAGTGTGACAGATTAGGTTGGATTTTAAGCGGACATCTCTTTTTGATCATAAAACAAATAATGGTTTAAGCTATGCGCATAACACTACGTGACTAACGGTACATATGTTTTAATGTTATGATGAAATGTTATTAGATGCACATGTGGGGACATGGTTCACAATACAGAAAAGGACCGGAGTCGCTAAGAGGAACACAACCAACGGCGATGCTGAAGCTGCCTTGCTACTGCTGTGCACCGGGCTGCAAGAACAACATAGACCACCCGAGGGCAAGGCCGCTCAAGGACTTCCGTACGCTTCAGACACATTACAAGCGGAAGCACGGTGTGAGACCCTTTGCTTGTCGTAGGTGTGGGAAGGCTTTTGCGGTCAAAGGAGATTGGAGGACCCACGAGAAGAACTGTGGGAAGCTATGGTATTGCTCATGTGGGTCGGATTTCAAGCACAAGAGGTCACTTAAGGACCACGTCAAGGCCTTTGGGAATGGTCATGTCCCTTGTTGTGGAATTGATCATGAGGAAGAGGAGGCTGCTTCTGATGTTGAACAGCAAGAATGATCGTGTTTGGTGGTGGTGTTGTTGTTGTTTTGAGCATTAATTGCATGCTTTATGCTTGTGTATCTTCTTCTTCTTTGCTTTTTTTGGGGATTAGTATTAATTATTAATGAGAATAGCAGAAGCTTTAATGTACTGTATTGGCTATTGAGATCTTTGTCAAAAAAATTAAAACTAAATTACTAAATTTGATTTGTATGATATCAATTTTTGTTCTGAGTTCTATTCGATATAAGGGACACATTTCCATTAGTATACACTAGAATTTAGAGTAGAGTAAATTAGAATAGAGAAGTTTGGTGAAAATATACCAAAACTTTTTAGTATCTTGAAGTATAATCAGATTTATCAAAATTTTGAAAGCAGCCTTTTTAGTAATAGAAATTACGTAAATATCTTAAGAAAAGCATAGAGAATAGAAAAAGAGAGAGTTGTATTCACAAATCACTACAAGTTTTTGAATTACAAGTAAGTCTACTACTAGACTTTCTCAACAGTAATAGAACTAGAAGGTTGCGTATTTATTCTATTGAGTTTATGAATCCTGAATTTGAGATCATTGACAATATCTCACTTTTACAAGATCTCATGATCATGCTCGCAGACAGATTCTTGAATACACCTACTTAACGATATGCATTTACAACCAATTGATAACTAGCAAGTATAGCATTTTGCAAACGTAATTGATGATTAGAATAAAAGTAAATTAATTATAAAAAAAATACAATCCTAATAACACCTAGTTTTGAAGTAACTCCATTTCATAATGTATATATATATATATATATATATTTACCGGAATTCAAATAGATTTATAAGTTTATGTAGCAGATAAGCTAATGGACTTTTTTTTTTAGCTAATGGACTTGAATTAACAAAATGAAAGTTTTGAACCTTTTTCGTATTTTCAACTAAAAGTTGATGAAGTTTTGGCAATTTATGCAAATTAAAAATTGGTTAACCCGGTTGTAGATGGTGGTCCGGGTAAAACCGACCCGAGTAAAATTCGGGTCAACACAAAGCAGGGGACAGAGACACGAGAAAGAAGAAGAAGATAGTAGGTAGAAGAAGGAGAGAGGCAAGGGTCAGGCATAATATGCTCTCTCACTAGGCTAAGAATTTGAAGCCATGGATTAGGGTTTTTCAGTTTCCTCTTCCCATCGATTAACCCAGAATACAACTATCTCTTCCTTCGTGTTTAGATATTCTCTTCGTCTCCGTCTATATCATTTCTCAAAGTCGACTTAGGAATTTACCAGTAATCATTTCGTTTGTGATTTTGTTTCTACTGAGACTCGATTAGCCTAGCTTCAATTCTATTCAGATTAATCAATGGATTCTCAGATGCTTGTGGCGCTTGGACTATCCCTTGTTGGGGGATTAAGTACTTCTTTAGGTTGGTCAATGAAAATCCCAGGAATTGTGTATTTTGCAAGTGTTTGCTGAATTTCAGATGTGTTAGATAAGTGACTGGTTCTTAGAATCAGGATTCATTGTTTTCCGATTGTTTTAAATGATGATTGATGGTTCTTCTGATACTCAATTTTGCCTTTGTTTTACTATATTTAGTGAATTGTTTTCGTTCAAGAAATTGTCAATAGCTACTTGTAGGATCAGCAATTGCTTGTTTTTGTAAATAGTTTGTGCCATCAAATTGTTCCGTAAGACCGGATTCAAAATGTTACGAATATAATGCTTGAGTGTTCAATACATTGCTAGTTCCGAGATATGAAGCTTTGGTGTCTTACCTGTATGTACATAAGGAATTGTGGATCCTTATATGTGAAATTCAAGTTTATTGTTTCTTCAATTTTATTAACTTTCATGTTACTTTCGTAGGTGCGCTTTTCGTAGTTCTTAGTGAGACTCCCAATATGAAGATGCTTGGACTTCTACAGGTGATGCTACATCTAATTTTCTATCATAAAGTCCCAAATTGTATTCCCATTCCTTTCGAATATCATTAGACTGAGGCCTTCAGTTTTGTAATATTGGTCAATTTCTGGTATAGCATGGTTCCTTTGATTTTATAGAACCATTGGTGAAGTTTTATGAACTGCATCATTGTTATATTCTCTTGTCGTTTAGTTTTATAGGGTGCTAGTGACTAGAATTTGTGTTCCTGTACCAACATTCTAATGTACAAAACTTTTCACTTGGGAAAATTTGATCCATGTTGTAGGTTGTTTATCTGATATTTTCAAGTCCTTTCTACAGGGTTTTGCGGCAGGTCTGATGTTGAGCATATCGTTCCTGGATTTGGCTCATAATGCTATAAACTCTATTGGGTTCTTAAAAGCCAATCTCTGGGTTAGTACTTCTGTCCATCTTGTACTTCAGTGGTTTTTGTTATTCAAATAATATGTTTATTTATTTCACACTGAAAGTAATATAGTTTTCTAGTGATGCAGTTTTTCGGTGGTGTGATATTCTTTGCGTGTATTGCCAAATTCATACCCGAACCAACAGTTGGTCCTTCTACTGACGTGAAAAGAAGAAAGGCAAGAGTGTTTTTTTTTTTACGAATTGTTCTTCGAAGGCTTTCTGGTTCTATAGTATCATGAAACCTTGGCATATTTGTTGATAACAGAAAAGTGGAGACGAGGGAGGTAAAGACACGATGAAGAAGCATCGCAAGCAAGTCTTATATAGTGGACTTATTACAGCTATAGGTATACTAACTTTCACTACCATCTCTTTAAATTATTAATCATTTGTTATCCGAGATTTGGGTGCATATTTTAATCTGTGATTTGTAGGCTAGATGTTTCGACAATGACTCCTCAAAACCATTGCATCAATGTACTTGAACTTTATTCGTATGCACAAACATCTAGTGTTGAGTTGCAACTTTAAACTCTTCATATTTAGCTAACTAGTCAATATATTACACAACAATAAGATTATATGTGTGAAAGACCTAATGATCTGTGTGTTTGTTCAACTGGGAAGTATCATGTTTCTTGGACTTAATATAACATTTTCTTTGATTTTGATGTTAATGCTATAGCTTAAATACAAAATAAATGTTTATCTAAACTCTTCATGTATTTCTTATCTTTTTCGCTTTGAACTATAGGCATAAGCTTGCACAATTTTCCAGAAGGGATGGCGGTATTTCTCGGATCAATTAAGGTGAGTACTAAGAAACATGAAAAACAGAAAATTTCAGGGAGCATCCATGCATTCTAACAAATTATCTCTATACTATTTTATAACCTGTGTCATCTACGCATTAATATCAATCTTTGCTTGTTGGATTCTACTTCACAGGGCATGCGAGTTGGTGTTAATCTGGCTTTGGCCATCGCTTTACACAACATTCCTGAGGTAGAAATTCTGTACCGTTATAAAAGAAACCTAGAAAGAATAACATGTTTCATTTTTCTTGCTGTGTTTCCTGTTTGACCGTCTATTTTTTCCACTATAAACTAATCTTAAAGACGAGTAAACATCTAGATTGTTCATATTTCTGATTTGACATGCTTCTCTTGCTGCTCCGGTGTTAAATTTTCAGGGTGTTGCAGTTGCACTTCCTATTTATTTTGCAACAGAGAGGTAAGAACATGATTGCATATGGATTTACATATATTTCTCTGTCCATGTTGTATATTAGGATAGGATGTATGCAGTTCATTTTACTCCGTGGTTGTATTCATCCCAAATCAACTTTATGCATGTAACAGCAAATGGCAGGCATTTAAGTTGGCAACACTCTCTGGTTTAGCTGAGCCTCTAGGTGTAATTATTGTGGGTAAGTTGCATCGGTTTCTTAGCTCAAGTTGCTTCTTCTGTACAAGTTCCTGTTCTCTTAACAGTTTTAAAAGAGTATTATAAATTCTGCTTTGATCCATCTTTCTTATGATGCAGCCTATCTTTTCCCAAGAAGCTTAAGTCCAGAAATCCTTGAAGGTTTGCTGGGAGCAGGTAAGTGGAGTTTTTCAGCAAATCGATACTTTAAAACTATAATCATTAGATGGAAAAGGAATCAATGCAAAACTGTTGTTTCTATGATGCAGTTGGTGGGATCATGGCTTTCCTAACGTTGCATGAAATGCTTCCTTTGGCATTTGATTATGCGGGACAGAAACAAGCTGTGAAGGCTGTGTTTTTTGGCATGGCATGTATGTCTGCGAGGTAACAAAACAAACCTGAGAACCCATATTTCCAAAAACTTAACACCTAATACTCATAAATCTGGTTACTGCAAAAAAATAATCAGAGGCCTTGAATTAGAGCTTTCATCATAAGTTCCTCATAACAAAGATTCAACCTAGTAGTTAGAAACTTGTTTCGCTTAACTATTTTCCGTCGATAGTAGAGGGAGGGATCTGCGTTGTTGAAATGCGTGTGATGTATCTGATCTGTAGTTTATGCTTATGATGTGTTTGTCTATGTTTCTTTTTATTTTGCAGTCTTTACTTTCTGGAGCTGAGTTTACCTGATACAATGAGCTTGTAAGGTTAATGATGTCATGTGCAATAATTGCCTCCCCAAAGAGTAAAACAGTCTCTGGAGTGAAGTAGTCTCTTTGTATCTGTAAAGACTGAAATCTGTAAACAATGACTATTCATTTTTAATTCAAAGGAATAATCTCTTTAACATATTTTCTTACAGCAGTTGACTAGAGTTTTCACAGACTTTATAGCAAATCAGATTTGCCAAATCTCACTCTACATCTATAATCTTTTCAAATTATAATATTGGCAATACTACACAAAATTAATTCTATTTTTCACATCATAATTTAGTCTTTTTCTGTTAAAAGATTATGTGATCGATCTCGATAATCTGTGGACCAAAGATCCTTTTGCCAAAAAATATATTCTTTCTATTTTATTCTGAGACCAATTCAAACTTTCTCAAAAAAATTACATCTCTAGTTTATTTTTGCCATGAATTCATTCCTAAATTTAGCAACAAAAATTAGAAAATTCTATGAATTCTCCTATCTTGCATATCAATGGTAGACCTTGAAACTCTCTCCACATTTTATTATAGTATATATTCCTTCACCACGTTCACCTTCAAATGCATCACATAAAAAATACAAACAACAACAAAATAAAACAAAAAAAAAAAAACCAAAAAAAAAAACAAGAAAAAATGGAGATGAAGAACGTCAACAACATCTTTGTGGCCCTCTTTATCTCGGCCGTGTTAGTGAGCTCAGTCTCCGCGGCTACAATGGAGTCTCCAGCACCATCACCAGGTGCTTCCTCTAGCACTGTAGCTTTTCCGGTGGTTGGTTCCATCGTTGCTGCATCACTCTCTGCCTTCTTGGCTCTTCTCTTGCAGTAAAAATTGACAAGAGAGTTCTCAATAGATGAGAAGGAGATATATAACAAAACTCTTTTTTGTTCTGATTTTGTTCCTTAGAATCTATGACAAATAACCTATTTTGATGTATAATCTCATTGTGTAAGTTATTACACTAATATTTATGAGTATATGATAATAATAACACTATTTTATCAGATTTAATGAATCTGATCAAAAACTTCATTGCTTTTCGATTAATTCCTTAATACACAAAGTGGTTACATGAAAATTTGTGGTTAATGTTTCTTTTAAAGATTGGTTTCATCATCGTTTTGCTTTCTCTTTACATTCATGAGACTCTTTGTAAGCCAAATAGCGGTTTCTCTTGATGAAACTGTTTCATCTCCAAAAGGTTTCAAGACTCCTTCAAGCTCATCAAACTTCTCTTGCCTAAGTAAACCTGCACAAAGCTCCAACAATGATTCCAATGCTTCTGCCCTCTCCTCGCTTTTCGGGCTTTTCTTCTGAAACTCGCGTAGCAGCGTTATTGTGCTAATCAATGACATCTCTTGGGTCTTTGCTGGTCTCTCCTTGTCTTTTGAACTAGAGCTCGTATTCTTGTTTCTCTTCTCTGTTTCCTCTGCTTCTTGATTATGTTTAATGGGTGTTTTTGCGGATTTGGTCTTCGGCGGGAGACCTGTTCTGTTTTCGTAGGTGTTGTGTTCTGATTTGGAGACAACTGGTTTGAAAACTGGAGACAGGTTTTGGCATTGTGCAAGATATGGCTGTAAGTGAGGATGTCTTAGCAATTCTGCAGCCTATAAAGAAACAATATCCATTCAAGAAAGTTAGAAGAAACCGCGGAAGTAAAGTCGAAAAAGAAGAATAAACTAATGGAATTCATCAACTCACAGTTGGTCTATGTTCAGGGTTCTTGCGCAACATACTTTTGATCAGTCTTTTTCTGCAAAACATATTAGAAATTCATAACATTAATACTCAAAATCATGTTTCAGCACTAAAATAAATGTATATGTATACTTACAATGAAGAGGAATACATAACCGGGAGAGGAGAAAGCGAAGAGCGGTTAATCTTGTTGATGAGTCCTGCCATGTCCTGTTTACAAGCAAGATAATTTCAGAAGCTTGAAAAGAATTTCGGGTTTAAAACGTCGAAAATGGGAAAAACTTCTTACAGGAGCCTTGAAGGCCGGTTGATGTGCAGCTACTTCAAACATACAACAACCTGTAGAGCCAATATCTTTATGAGAAACCAAGACCACAGATTTTAAGAAATCTCAAGTTAGGATTGTGTGTTAAACCTAAAGACCAAATATCAGATTTGTAGCCATAAGGTATATCTGCAAGAAGTTCAGGGCACATGTAGTTTGGTGTTCCCACCATCTACAAAAAAACAAGAAAATGTTTCAGAAATACTTCGGTGAAAGCTGTAAATTCCAATGGAATATGAGCAATACCGAGGAAGCCAGATCGTCTTTGCCTAGAAGTTTTGCAAGGCCAAAGTCACCTGTAAAAGAGCCAATCTTAAGACAATGGTTCTAAAGCAGCTTCTTAAGAGGTAACAAAGAGAGGATTCTGCAGCTGATGTCTTTACCTAACCGAACCTCGTTTTCTTTAGTGAGGAATATGTTGGAGCACTGGAAAATTTTATATGCAGTGTTAATGGATGTTCTGTTCCATTGAAGCAAAACAAGCCTAGAGAGTAATACAAGTTTAAGTTACCTTAAGGTCCCGGTGAAGAACTCGATTGCTATGGAGGTAATCGATAGCCAACAGTAGCTGCACCATCCATCTACAGAGTTTCTACAGAGAAGAACACAATTCATTCTTGGTTAGATTCAATATCAATCCATCATTTGCTTAGACCAAAAAGATTTCTTAATGATTGCTAACTAACTTCTTCGGACGCGAATATTCCTCTTGACTTCTTTATCATTTGAGTCCTGCATTTACCAAAATCACTTAGGAAAACCACCACCAAAGAATAACAAAGAAACATAAAACTGGAATATGAAATGATTTGCCTTACATGTCTCCACCCTCGCAATAACTAGTTACAATACATACACAATCCTGCATAAACCAACCGAAAAATCCCAAGATAGTTTAGAATTTTCTGCGAAATTTCCGCTTGATTACGAGCTTTGAACAAGAAGAAGATATCACCTTTTCAACCCATGAATCTTTATACTCCACAATATAAGGACTCTTAAGCTTTGATATCAAACTCATCTACATTATAACAAAGAAAAAAAGAAACACATTTTGATTTTCAAGAATCATCATTGAATATAATCAAGAATTCAAGATCACAAGTAAAAAAAGCTTGCTAATATTTTAACCTCTTGGATTGCAGCAAGCTTGCATCTTTCTGTTTGTTTAGCCAAACGAATCTTCTTAACCACATACCTACCATGAATTTGACCTCAAACAAGATCAGAATAACAAATATAGATCAAATCAAGAATTGAGATCTTTTGAGTACTCACTTTCGTCTCTCAGACTTGTGAATGACAAGAAAAGCAGAACCGAAAGCGCCTCGTCCGATCTGTTCCACAACTTCATAATCATCCATCTTGGAAGCAGTTTCACTTATCTTGTTTGCCATCTGAGATCTTCCTCTGTCGGTTTAAAAGGATACAGCTTTCACAAGTTATTACTGTTCAATGGAGCCTGTAAGTTTCAGAGGATTCATATAAAACCCATGAGCATTAATGAGAATCATGAATTAAAGAATCAGGCAAGAAAAAAAAGAAAGAAAAAAAATGGGACCCTGAAACCAAATTTTGATTTTGAAATATCGTGAAGAAGAAAGTTTCGTAATTTCTTCTTTTTTTTCCTCTTTTGAACAAGATGGGGAGGGAAGATTTGAAGATGAAGCAAAGAAAGGTACAGAGAAAGTGAGAGAAATTATATTATTTTCTTTGGTCAGAGAGGGAAAATTATTTAAATGAATAAAGAAAAAGAAAAAAAGAGAGAATGGAAGAAGATTCAATTGACAGATAAGAGCACCAAAGCAATTTTGCTTGAGGTTTCAGACTGTTGTTGTTGTTGACATGTTTGTTGTTATTATTACATTTAGTGCTTTTTTTATGCTTGTTGACATGTCTCTTTCTCACTTTTATACTTTTTAACAAAAAAAACATTCTCTGAGTTTTGATTGATGTTTTGTTTTATTATCTTTGGATCGTTAAGAGTATTTTGTCAATACTAAATTTTCTGAGACTATTTATTTGACCAAATGTGAAGTTCATGACTTTTATTGTTTTACCAACCAAAGAAAATCTCCACTTAAATCTTTTGGTTGGACCATATCTTAACTCTTTTGGTTAGAAGTTAGAACAACCAAATATTAAAAATATTATAGACAGTCACATATTGAAATCACTCAAAAACATCAATTACCATTGGCACAATTAAAGGGTTTTCTCTGGAGTAACAGAGTATAGAATTTGACACCACAATATTGTTGAGATGACATTTTTATCGGTGTTTAAAATTTGTCTTATTCAGTTTTTGTCAATCATCGCTGCTTTCACAATTGGGTTTGCTTTGGGCCTTTGGCTATGGCTTCCTCTGCAGTGGCATTGTAATTGTCTGCATAGCGGTGTGATCCACATAAGAGATTACCACAACCTGCTTATTGCAAGTAATGCATCTCTTGGTTTTTCTTTAATTTTTCTTATCTTCTTCTATAATTTATAAGCTCATTAAGAGGATCTGATAGCATAGAAACCATAGAACATCAACACCAAATGAGGGTACTAAAAACTAAGTTCCAAAAATAAGCTACTCTAGTTGGACTGCAAAATCTAACCTACCTTCATTTAATTCCACAAAGGTACAATTGTAATTAGGCAAATTACGCATAAGCGAATCATCCAAAAAATGCTGCAAGGCAGCTACAAGTTCAGTACACTATGCATCGTTTCAAATTATCTACAAACTAATCTTACTTTTTTTTTGGGAGTTCAAACCTAAAAAATTTGGACTATTTCTTGATTTATGGTGTTATCCTTGCCTTGCCTATATATGGGCCATGGGTTATGCAAATTTGACTGCAAAGGCTAATATTGGCTTTTAGGCTCTCTCTCATTGATAATTTTGCGACGTTAGTATTCCTAATCAAGACCGTTTTGTGCTAAGAGTTGGCTATGACGTGTGCGTATATGAATGCTCAGAAATTAATTTTGTAATTTTGCTACGCAAAGTCGTTCAATCCCGCGGCGGGTTTCGTTTTTTTTTTTTTTTAAATGCTTGCAGTTTTGAATTGTTATACGTACGGAACTAAAAAAAAAATGGAATTCCTTAGAAGATTAACGAACACATGCATAATTATGATTAGTCGAGAAGATTTGAAATGATTTAAAGAATCAATACAAAACAACAAAAATGTTAAACCAACCGTTAGTGCATGGATCAAACTTCACTCACATTACAAAAGATCAGGAAAAAGAAAATGATTGAATATAACTTCGGGGAAATTAAGGGACATCAAAGACAACACATAATTAATGCATGAATGTCTTTGACGCTTCACAACAACCACCACCATGGTTTGGCGGGAGGAGGTGGATACACTTTTCCATATTTAGAAGGTGGTGGTGGTGGAGATTTCCTGTAATAGTAGGCTTGATAAGCTTGAGGAGGCGGAAAACCAACCGGAGGAGGATAGATTGGAGTAGGAGGAAGAGGGACATCAACGGGAGGAGAATAGACCGGAGTAGGAGGAGGAGAAAGATCAGCCGGAGGAGAATAGACGGAAGTAGGAGGAGGAGGAAGATCAGCCGGAGGAGAATAGACGGGAGTAGGAGGAGGAGGAAGATCAGCCGGGGGAGAATATACCGGAGAAGGAATAGGAGAATGTTGTCGTTGGTAGTTAGTGTAAGTTTGGAGAAGCTTACGGTTGTTACTGGCTTCACCAAGTGTGATAATTAGGGTTGCTAAGAGAAAAACTAAGATGACGGAAAGGCCTTGGGACACCATTTTTAATGGTTGTGTTCTTTGTACTCAATGATAATGTTAAAATCCTAGACATAACTATGTTTATATATATGTAATTAATCCATTGGAAGCTCTCTTGATTAGAGAGTTAGAGGATTCCCACTAACCTTTGATATTTTTCCTATTGTAATTCTTAAGTATATGTTGAGCGGCCTTTGCTGTTTTGTTTGCATTTTAAATGCCTCTTCTTTTCCTAATTGGCGCGTCCCTCTAAATAGTAAGTTTTCTTAAGTAGTGTTATTAAAATACCAAGAGAGTTGATCTTTTGGATTTTATACAAGTAGTTCGATAATGACGTTAACACAAATTATTAGTCTTATATTATATGACATATATGTTGATTTGGTTGATGGTTTCTAAGCAGATTTAACAAACGATTTTACTAATCCTTGACTTTTTTTTGTCGGCTACCATTATATAAGTAGATAATAAAATAAGAACTAGAATTATCTTTATAAACGAATTACAAGTTTGGAAATTAGTCAAAAGGGTTAGCTTTAAACAAAATTTGGGTACACCTAAACTTAATTGAGTACCCATAAAACCCTAACCCTCAAGAACCAATTAACCAGTCTGAGAATACCTTCGCCGTAAATATAAAAAGAACACCTTGCGTCACCTAAATTCTTCTACCAAAAGTCCCTTCTAAATTGAACCTATTACTTCCAAGACAAGAAACAAAAAAAAAATTGAGAGTAGTGATTAAGATAGTTACTATTCAGACCCTTTCCTGGTGCTGTGAGAAAGAGATCCATGTTTACTCATTCCACATAGTGAAAACACCACCAGGATTTGACCCCTGAACAGACTCACCGGTCCAACCACTATACCCTCCGGTTCCATCACTGGAAGGCATATCGTAATCTGTTTTAACGGTTGGAAACTCCTCAGCCGATCCAACAGTCGAGCTCGACCCAATACCAATACCGTGGTTCCCAAGAAACGCTGCAGTGTTGTAGCTCCCACTAGAGCCTCCATTGTTATTGTTGTTGTCAACGATAGAGGTAGAGACAAGGCCATGGAGCAGAGCCGGATTGCTATGGAGATACGCATTGTAGAGCTGCTGCGAGTTCTGGCTCGATTGTTGCTGCAAGTAATTGTTGGTCTGTTGGTGGAGATGAAGTTGTGTCTGGATATAGCTATGGTGATTAAAAGAGGAGGAATCATGAGCATTGTTGTTGCTGTAATGAGAGATGTCATTGTTCTGAAGAGATAGAAAAGGCTCTAAAGGTTGCTGAATGCTTAGAGGGTATGGTTGAAGCTGAAGCCTTGATGAGCTTGAGCCAGAACCTGTGCTCGAGCCACCCCCGTACTGGAAACTTGAACCAAGGGCTATCATCTCCGCCTCACGTTTCCTTGAAGACTCAAGAGCTTGAGCTTCTTTGAGCCGTTTAGCTGCACCTCCTCCTATGGGAAGAGTGCTGCTCTCTAAGATGGCTTTGACGTCATACCTATTGATTTCAAAGTTGGTCACTGCATTAAGTCCTCTGAACTTTATTGCAGCTATATCGTAAGCTTCTGCTGCTTCTTCCTCAGTGCCTGAACAAGATAAACCATATTGATAACATAAGTTATGTTTCAATTTTGGTATGTATATGAATAAGGTTCTTTTATTTTTCTCTACTAAATTAACTTCACTTTGATTTAAAATTTGTACTGAGCCTTTAAATCGTTGGAATCAATTCTTATGGTTTGCGTACCAAATGCTCTCAAGATCTAATAACTAAGTACTTACTAAAAGTTCCCAAGTAGAGGTCTTTGTTTCCCGCGACTCGGCCGATCCTTGCTTGCCATCTTCCATGTTGGTGATGCCTATACATATATCAAGTAAGGAAAAATTTTTAAAAAAAAAATCAACAAGTAACTCCTTGTAAGACTAGGTATGGGAATATTTACGTATATACAAACCTTGTAACTCCTCGATACATCGAAGCGCCTCTGGAAAAGCCACTACTTTTCCTGTGATTTGACGAATATATAAGTTGTTGTTAGATTAGATAAGTTTCAATTTATATGAAAAAGGACTCATAGGGAAAACACAAAAGAAGACCTTCTAATGGCAGCCACGAACTCTTGTCTCGTCATGTGCTTCATTTCCTCTACTTCTTTCTCGTAGTTTGTAATCTGATATATAGTAATGAATCAAAGATTTGAAACATATAGAACTGGTATCAAGAAAATATGTATTAACATACGGGGAAATTAGTAGTAGTTGAAGGACCCCAGTACTTAAGTGCAGCTAGATCATATGATCTTGCTGCTTTATCTTCTTTGTCATATCCACCTACATACAAAAATTTAATTTAATTAAGTTTCCTTTAAAGAAAGAATATAAATAATCCACGAAGATGGTTAAGAAAAAAAATACAATTCGATGTACTCACCCAAGTAAACTAGAGATTGTTTATTGAGTCCCCAAGATTTACGCATCAAGAACAAAGAAGGGAGACAAAACATAGTTAGTATGAACCAAATGAAACTTAAAAGACAAATTTTCTTTCAAGAAAAAAAAAAAAGAAAAAGAAAAAAAGAAGACAAAACCTAGTTAAGTGGAAGTAAATTACTTACCTTGTCTTCCTTTCCTAGACTGGCCTTCCCTTCTACAACTATTATCCCATAGATGAGCCTCATAGCGACCCGTCCATCGATGTCTATATGTACACATTTCATCATTACACTCAAATAAAGATCACAAAATCATTAAAGAATCAAATAAAGAGTGATGAGTCACATATCTAACCTTGTGACACCACGATAGATCGAGGTTCGTTGTCCGAAAGTGTCCAATGCACGTCTCGGCGTGGCCGTCTCAACAACGGCTAGTGCTCCACCGCTAGTGTTATCCCCGGTGGTCTCGGACGGTGAAGCTTTGTCTACAGCGTTGTTACCAGCGGTGGTCCCCATGGACAAAGTGAGTGACTGTAGATTGTGAGCACTCTCTTGAAGCTCATGATAGCTACTGTTGTTAGGAGTGTTGGAGTCACAAGCTGCTACATTAACGACATCATTTGATTGGACGCTAGGCATCAAGCTATTGGTATGGAAGTAGTAATCTGAGTCGTTGTAAGCTACTAGGTGGTCAGATTGATTTTCGTCCGGTTTGCTCACACCGAGAAAATCAGCCACTTTTGGAACCTCTCCTCCACCGTGTGGATTGATCATATTCCACTCTACAAAATAACAAATTGTTATCTTTAGTATATAATTATTATACACAAAAAGAGGAAGCATATATGTATAGATATATATATAAAGGTATTACCTTGTGTTTGAAAAGGGTTTTCCATATGGTCGCTGACCAAGCCAAGGTTGTATTCATGAGGAGGCAAAGAAGAGTTGTTTGGTGAAAGAGGAAAGCCAAGCCAGTTGTTAGAATTCATTTTCTTCTTTTTGAGTCAAATCTGTTTGTATTGTGGTTGGGCTAATCAATCAATCACTACCACTTTGGTATGATCAATATACCAAGCTCTAAGCCAATCAGAGAAGAAAGAAAGATTCAACTATCAAGGATTGGGGAAAGATAATTTAATGATCAAGACTACTTTCAAAGATTGGAGAATATGTATTTATATAGGTAGATGTATTCTTCAGATTTATGTATCTACCTCTCTTTCTCTTTCTCTCAGAAGCTAGAAACTCTATAACTTTAGGGTTTTCACAAAGGAGAAGATATTTGTGAGAGATGAATTTTTTGAGGAAGACCAGAGAAGTTTTATGGTGAGAGACCCGTTTAGAATATTATTTGTTGTATAAATAATTATATATGCACTATACATTATTATTGCTTATAATTATTATAGAAGGAGTTCAACTAAAACCAGCATCGAATTTGTTTTCTTACACTATACCAACGTATTCTGTCGGATTTAAATCTCGGTGAATATACGGCGATAACATTAATAGTATAGAAAATCATCCACAAAAAGTTATCTACAATTAATAAAGGTGCACGATTGACGTAATTATATGCAACGGGGTTCTGGCACATGACAGTTTTGTATATACATACATGACTATTAATTAAAATGTATTTAAATACATGCTTATATATATATATATATATATATATATATACTGTAAATATTCACACATTGACACATATATATATGCATAATTTTTAACATTTGTTATACGCATTGAATAATTCCTCCATTCTGTAAAACTTATCTAAATTACCATAATAACGTCTAATTTGTCAGCAGAAAGTACTTTCTGAATTACACAAATGATACATTTTTGTTTTTTTTTTAATCTGCAAACATCATTTAGTAGCCAGCTAAAAACAATTGTGTAAGGGTAATATATTGTGAGTGACAATTAATTTGCAGAATACGAAAGATTTTAAAAACAAAATAAAAATATATATGCATTTCTGTAAGAATTTAAAAACATAAAATAAAACAAAATAAAATGGGCGGTGTCAACTTCGTGAAGTAAGACAAAACCTAAGATTCCAACCGAAAAAATCCAACCCTTTAGGCAAATTAATTATCACTCACAATGAAATTACTTCTAAACGTTTACCAAAAAAAAAAAAAAAAAAAAAATTACTTATAAACTTTTTGTAAAAGCAGATTTTAACTCTCTCTCTTTCTCTCTCACTCAAGCTTCTCTCTCTAAACCCCACTAGGATTATGGGAACTCACGTCCTCGTTTAATGCGATTCATGACTCCACAAAGCCCAGCATTCCCACACTCTGCAAATCACATCTTCGCCTTAATTACCATTTGACCATTCTACGTAAAGTCTCTCCCTCCCTCTCTCTACATGACTACATCTCCTCTGCTTTACCATGTATACTTGCGTACTTGATCCAATATATGCATGTTTAAAGCATATACGCCTACGTATGAATGTTAACATACCCTAGTGTATGCATTAAAGGTTAAACTTTACAAAATACAGCAAATGCATTATTGTAGATCCCCGAATTCTCTCACTTCTGCATGTGTACGTTCATGCAATATTATAAGAGCCAATTCATTAAGGGGGCATTAAATATTAAGCTCACATATGGCAAAAAAAAGTGACACTTCGTTCAAAAAAAAATGGCTTAAAAGATTAACAAGAGAATAGTACTCTTCTTTAAATTGTTTGTTAGTTTAAAGTTTTCTCATGGAGAAGAGAAGATTAAAAACGTCCAAATAGGAACAAAAAAATCGTAAAATTGGTAGGGGAATTTGTTTTTGTCTCCCCGAGTAAAAATCTGTTGACCGCTTAATCGGTCTTCGCACCCGTCAAAAGAAAGAGTTTATATGAATTAAATTAAATTAAAGAGCATGTTTAAGTTTAAAAGTATTATTGCTTATGTCCTTTGCACACTAGGAGATTTTATTGTGCTAGGAGCCAGCCCTCTTTTTTAATCGCATGCCTTGTGTCATCCATTAACATCATATTCATTTAATAATACTTATCAAAATGTACGTATTTTAAATCTATATATCAATATATGTACATGTGAACCAAACTTGATTTCACATGTGAAATTTTAGTATGGCACAAATACATTTTAGTATTCACTAAAAAAAAACTACAATGTGTTTCAAAATGTGATCATAGTATACTCATTCATGAAATTTCCCAAACAGAAAAAAGTATACTCATACAGGCATTTGTAATAAAACATATCTGCTTTATGTTGGCACAATATACCCAAAAGGTCCAAAATTGATCTTCGTCAACCTCTACTATATGCTATGCTTAATTTCAATAATAATTTAGGAAAAAAATCGATCAAGTGATACTGAAACATGTTTTAAAAGAGATGATTTGGTTAAAAATATACATTTTTGAATGAATAATGTTGCTACTTCTGTGTATATTTAAACATATACTCATACAAATATATTTTTAATGTTAACACATGTCACATGATAGTATGACACTAAAACAACAAATAGATTTATCAATTCAAATTCACATTCAAAATAAATAGATACTATAATATCCAGCAGGTGTAGGTCTGCTAAAGGAAAGTTCTCATTCCACTTTTCAGATTTTATTATATCCTTCTCACTTTTATCATTTAATAAAATATAACTAAAAATCTATCTGCAATATTTCTACAAGTGAGAAAAAGAAAAAATAGAAAGTTCAGAAGAAAGCTTCCTTTTATGGCTTTCTTCCAGACTGTACCACTCAGAGTTTCAGTCTGCTACGTATAAGTAGAATCTAAACCCAGAAGAATAATCAAATGACATTTTCTGAACTACTTTTCTAAGTAAGATAAATAAAAAAAATCCAGAGTAATCTGTTACCTTTGATGTCACATCTTGCCGCCAAATTTGTTACCTTTTTTCCTATATCAAAGATTTTGGGAATAAAAACAAATTGTTAAGTTTGACTGAGAAAATAAAACAATTTTAGTTATCTAAAATATCAGCTTTTACAAAATTCCCTAACAAATAAGTTGATTAAATTTTTTTTTATTCTTTTTTAGCAAATTGTTTTACGAAATATCATCACTTAATATTTGAAATGCTTTTTCACCCTGTTGGCACTACTGATAGAGTGTGACTAGGCTTTTCCAAGAATATGAGTCTAAGTTTTTTCATTGGAAAATGTTAGAAACAAACTTATTTTAAAGTGTGATCACTAGAATATTATTGCTAAAAAAACTGAGGTCTCTTTTTGTTTTGGCCAGGTTTAAAAATTATTACTGTTTACTTTACTTATTCAGAATCAAAAAGATAAAGACAAAAGTAGACATGAGAGAGACAGAATATGATGAAAATACCAAAAATAAATTATAAACAACTAAAAGAGGTTAAAGTTAAAATAAAGAACTCTGTCGTGCAGAATCAAGTAAAAAAGTAAAAACTATAAACCCTAGATTTTATAGTCTTACAAGTGATCAAAGCTTCTACGGTTATCTACAAGAAAGGTATAAATAAAAATTACTTATGGAACAAAAAAATGTAAAAAAAAAGAAAGAAAGAAAGAAGTTGCAGAAAATCGGAAGAATTGGGGGAAGAAAAGAATCTAAGGAGAGTGAGTCTTTGTTGGGAAAGGTGAAGAGAATGTGCAATTTGCAGACCATTAAAGCCACCGGCAATTATCGGTTAATACTCCTTTCTTTCTTTTTTTCCCCATCGTTTCAGATTTTTGTTGCCGTCCTCCTCTCTTATTACACTGCCACGTGTCGGTTAGGTTTATACTTCTTCCTGGTAAGTTCATTGTCAGTAAAAATCAATAATTCTAATTAGAGTGGACACAAATAAAAACATACTATTTCTAATTAGGGTTTTGCTAGGTTTAATCTGTTTAGATTTTTTTTATAAAGGTATGCTCTTTTGTTATATAAGATGATAAACCTAGATATTCCAATGCTTCTTTTTTTTTATATATATATTCCAATACTTCGTGTTTCTAAAGCATATTAATGGCGATTATACCTTATGTCCTTGCTGAATTTTATGCATGAAATGTTGTGCAAAACATTTAGCCACCATTAAGAAGCGTATTCGAAATCCTAAATGCAAATGTTTACTTAATAAATGCAAAGCCGTAATTGAACAAATGGGAAAGAGAGCCGCTCGAACTTCTCCATCTTACATATTTGATGATGATGTGGTTTTTATTTGATGATGATGTGGTTTTTTCTAAATCACAACCAGCAAATTATTCTTTAACTGTTATTTAAACCCTACTATATAAACTTCATCAAGAATCATCTGAAGCCTGCGAGTTAATTAGTTAGAGTAATAAAAAATATATGGAGCCTGAGATTAAGTTTTACTTAGTTAGACATGAATATAAAAATGTGCATGTGGAGGCATAGACGTTAAAATCACGAAAACCGGTGGTAAATTCTTGGAGGGGAAAAATCAAAGAAAGAGAAAGAAGTCACAGTCACGAGAATCCAGAGAAAGGCTTTGTAGAGTTTCCATGGTGAAATGTGGTGTGGTGTGTGGTGTGTGGTGGGAGGAATAGCCGGAAAAGTGCTCGTGTCGCCTCGAGATGAGTCTCATCTTCACCATTTATGTATTCTTTTAAATTGTATTATTATAGTGCGATTAAATTTTAAATTTTATCCTTTTTGGGGATTTGCTGTTCTTACAATGGATTTGAACTAAGTAGAGAAAGGGGGGGGGGGGTGTATTTTTCTACATGAGATCGAAATATAAGCTACGTTACAAAGAGGAAAAAACAAAGAACTGCATATAAATTAATAAGATAGATGTATATATACACATATATGATATTTTTATATATAATTATTATTATTTTAAAGGTAGCTAGGTTTCTACATAGGGGGGGGGGGGGGGTGTATTTTTCTACATGAGATCGAAATATAAGCTACGTTACAAAGAGGAAAAAACAAAGAACTGCATATAAATTAATAAGATAGATGTATATATACACATATATGATATTTTTATATATAATTATTATTATTTTAAAGGTAGCTAGGTTTCTACATAGGGTTGTGTTTTTGTAAGAACACGAGGCCGCATAATATTATCAGGGGTGCTTTAATTAGTTGTCGTAACTCACTGAGATATAAACATATACAAAGTAGTATATTGAATGATCCCAAG